TCATTTATATGGTATATTTTTTCATTTAAATGCAATATTTTTTATTCAAATGGTATAATTTTTCATTCAAATGGTATAATTTTTCATTCAAATGGTATGATTTTCATTCAAATGCAATAGTTTTTATTCAATTGGTATAAAATGTCATTTGAATGCAATATTTTTTATTCAATTGGTATAGTAGTTTTTTATTTATATGCAATAATTGCATTATGGGAAATTCTTTGACGTCATAAGGTCAAATTTGCAACAACGTTTGTGATTGGTCGGAAATTGTTTGGATTTCTCCCCTTTCTTTCTAAACATGGGTGACCAAGAATTAAAAAACGCGTCAGAATATCGCCCCTCTAACTAAATCTAACGTTCGTGCGAGTCCTGCACTGGCTGTTAAAATCTTGTGGTCACAACTAGTATTTCTATTGCAAAATTTCGATGGTCAAAACGTTCGGTCCACTTTTCAAAAACCGTTTCATTGTATATGGATTTATATGCAAGTATATCGGGTTTTTAAATAGATTAGACACCGATGGTTTTCCCGTTTGAATGGTTTTACACTACTAATTTTTGGGGGCCCTTTATAGCTTGCTGTTCGGTTTGAGCCAAGGCTCCGTGTTGAAGACCGTACGTTGACCTTTAATGGTTTACATTTACAAATTATGACTTTGATGGAGAGTTGTCTCATCGGCACTCATACCACATCTTCTTATATGTATATTCAACGTAAACCAGACGTTTCTCAGACTGTTTTCTTTTTTTAATAAATCCTTTGCCGCGCGTTGTGTACTGATTGATAACTCGGTCTGGGAGAACAAGATTTATTTCAGTACCAGTTGTAATTAATTTGAGCAAACTTCCAGTAATTGCAAATACTCTTATGTCGGTGCTTTGTGTCTATTGTCTTAATGTTAGTTTTTGTGTGTGTCTCCTATCGATCTTTTGAGTAATTTGCTGATTTGTGCAGGTTGTTATTTTATTGTACCGTTACACCACTGTCCCAGCTTCGGGATGGGTTGCTCATAAACATGTTGTTGTACTGTTACACCGCTGTCCCAGATTAGGGGGAGGATTGGGATCCTGCTAACATGTTTAACCCCGCCACATTCTGTATGTATGTGCTTGTCCCAAGTCAGGAGCCTGTAACTCAGTGGTTGCCGTTTGTTGCTTTGTTATACATATTTGTGTTTCGTTCATTTTTTTGTACATTAATTCGGCCGTTAGTTTTCTCGATTGCATTGTTTTACATTTTTGATTTCGGGGCCTATTATAGCTGACTATGCGGTGTAGGCTTTGCTTATTGTCGAAGGCCGTACGGTGACTTATAGCTGTTGATTTCTGTGTCATTTGATCTCTTGTGGAGAGTTGTCTCATCTGCAATCATACCACATCTTCCTTTTTATATCCACCCTGCCATATTCTTTATTTGCCTGTCCCAGGGATGGAGCCTGTAGTTTAATGGTTGTCGTTGGTTCCTGTCTCGACTCATATTTGATATTTTGTAAATTGTTTTGTTATGTATAATTAGGCTGTTAGTTTTTTCGTTTGAATTGTCAGTCACACTTTTAATGTAGGGCCTTTTATAGACGACTTTACAGTATCAGGTTTTTGTCATTGTTGAAGGCCTTACGATTGTCTACAAAAATCATTTGTCTACATGACGGCAAAAAACTCTACAGAGCTCATGTTTGTAGTATTTCATGTAACCCGAATTAAAATAAATTTTTCTTATCTTATCTTATCTATAATTGCTTACATCAGCTTCATATTTGAACTCCGGTGGATAGTTGCCTTATTAGCAATCATATTCCATCTCTTCATTTTTATATTATATACGTGACTTCTAAACTCGTGTTTTCCTGAACAAGCATGAAATAATTTTCACTGGGCGTTAAAATTAGCAACAAACAACCAATCAATTTAAACTTGTGTTAAATTAGAGGAAACCCATTTGATATTTATTTATTTGTTGGGTCGGGGGACAGAAGGATTTCATATATGAATATGGTTGCCTGGTAAGAGCTGAAAAATAGGCATGATTAGCGACAGATTGAAATGAATAATAATGCCCCCTCTCCCCTTCCCCATCCTTCATCTATAAATTTAAACTGACCACCACGGAATAGCCCAATAGTGTTGAAAGTAGCGTAAAACACCAATCAATCAAAATCCCTTCCCTAGAATATCAAATAATCGTCCCTTAACTGTTATTGTCCGTGTAGTTCTTATATTTATCCAGCTTATCGTCCTACAGGGATGTCCTATTAAGGCTGTCATACCATAAAACGTTTATAAAACAGCTCACATTCTAATATATCTGCATTCATAAATTTATTAATTTCATTTAGACTAAACGACGCCATGTTTGTTATGTGCCTCTGCCGTCAACCTATCAAAAAAGAAGAGGTGGAAAAGAGCCAGAAGATCTTCCCAATGCAAAAAAAAACAGAAATGGACTTCTTCTGGCTCACTTCCGAAGAACAAAAAAAAAAAAAAAAAACGCGTCCCATTGATATGTTTTAAAAACGCCTTGCCCCTACCTTTTTTCCAAAAAAATGGCATTATTAAATATATAAACATATATATAATCATCAAAATTAAAATGCTATTGTATTTTTATAAGACCTACTTTATTACATGACCTGGGACTAATGACATCTATCTATAAGTCCTAGCATACATTAATTATTATAATATGAATATGTTTCTTGTTTTAATAACCACATATGATGCTATGCATGAGTCACCATTTATCAGGACATGAATTGGGTTTACATAGAGAGGATAAGGGACGACATCAGAAAATCAATGAAGAATAAAAAACTTAATTCAAATAGTTGGGGGGGGGGGGGGGGGGTCAAAATTGCTGCAAGTTTTGTTTAATTAACATCGATTTTATATATATCCTTATTGGTCAATCAATTTTTCCCAAATTAAGAAATTAAATTAAGAGGGGGGGTAGGGGGTCAGTGAAAAAAACTATATGAATTATTTTTTTTTTTATCCTACTTTTAACTTTTGATGTCGTCCCTAATGTGCAAAAAAATAGATAAGGGGCGGGACCAAACCTATAGAAAACATATTAAAGAAATGATGAAATATACAGAATACGTTGATTGACTTTTGGTTGCCTTATGTCCAGTGGCAAATATGTCACGCATGTTTAGAACAAATATAATAGAGATCAAAGGATAAAGAATAGAGTGAAATGGTAAAAACTAAAAGATATAGAATTATAGAAACGATCTTTGATCTGAAACCCATACCCTCACACACACACCATAACCATTACTGCCAATACTCGCATATATACATCTCTATACAAATATCTAAATTTGAACCTACTCCCCCTCCCCTTCTAGACACCGAGGTTTTGGATCCGCCCCTGTTAAATGTGTCTAATTATATACATTGTGTACGGGTATAGATAATAGCTAAACGTACAATCATATAATTTGTTGGATACCTAATTATATTATATAATGTGTCACAAAATAAACTTTTATACCCACCTTCCCAATGCAGTATTGAAAAGTAAATCATTTAAAAGTCCTGAAGATAAAATATGTTTTGAAATATGCCCTGCATACTTATTTATGCAAAGACATATAGTAATTATTGAACTACTGTGGGGCTTGAAAAAAAATCTATTTAAGGGATTCGGAGGCGAGAACAGTAAAAAAAAGCTCAGCAACGAATCCTAGATGTAAAATGATTTGCAGCATAAGACATGAGAGCACATATCATAGATAGTATTAAATATGAAGTTCACTCCTCATATAGTGAAGTCCTATGTCATAGGACTAGTGTTGTAACATGGGTTAGTAACTGGTTCCAATTTATCCTGAATTGTCTTTATTAAAGAATTAGTTCCGGAGTATAACAGCTTATGTCTCTACTTGTGGGTTTCTAGTTCTGCTGTCGTAATTAGGTGATTTTTTTCTACATGTAGTTAAAAAGAGGGGGCTTAGTCCAAATAATTGTAACGTCCTGGATGCTTTTTATTCTTTTTTCATGTGCCTTCCTGCAACGTCTCTGAGGATCAAGAAAAGTAAAAAATGATATAGCACTAAAGAACGTCATGATTACATGTATCTGGACTTAGAAGGGGGAGGGGGGCTAGCTATGTATTTTTTTTTATTTCAATGTGTAGACTGTAGGAGAGTTTCTTCAGAAAAGGTTTTCATTGGAGGTGTTTTTGCCATGCACGCAGGCATCTGTTTCAGCGCTATCCATGAACAAGTTGTGTGTCAAATTAATTATTATTACTTGTCACTCGCATTTTTTGCTCGTCCTGGCCATTATTGGCATTAACAGCCAGTGCAGGACTCGCACGAACGTTAGATTTAGTTAGAGGGGCGATATTCTGACGCGTTTTTTAATTCTTGGTCACCCATGTTTAGAAAGAAAGGGGAGACATCCAAACAATTTCCGACCAATCACAAACGTTGTTGCAAATTTGACCTTATGACGTCAAAGAATTTCCCATAATGCAATTATTGCATATAAATAAAAAACTACTATACCAATTGAATAAAAAATATTGCATTCAAATGACATTTTATACCAATTGAATAAAAACTATTGCATTTGAATGAAAATTATACCATTTGAATGAAAAATTATACCATTTGAATGAAAAATTATACCATTTGAATGAAAAATCATACCATTTGAATAAAAAATATTGCATTTAAATGAAAAAATATACCATATAAATGAAAAATTATACCATTAAAATAAAAAATATTGCATATAAATGAAAAAATATACCATTTAAATGAAAAAATATACCATACAAATGAAAAATATTGCATATAAATGAAAAAATATTGCATATAAATGAAAAAATATACCAATTAAATGAAAAATATTGCATTTAAATGAAAAATATCAAATTTTTGCAACCAATACCATGCCATAGATAACAAGAGGAATACATATGCGATAAACATAAGATGATATAATCTGTCTATAAAGATCCTATGTTAAAAGTTTTAACCATGAATAATCGAGTTTTTTATTTCCATTTTTCACAATTTTTCTCTACAAATCACATTTTACACAAGAATTACAATTTTTTAAATACTAATAACTATAGGACTTCTTAAGATAAACATCGGATAGTATTCTCTATTTTCTGATAAGATTCCAATTTGAAAGTTTTAACCATCAATAACCGAGATATCTTCATTTCCAGTTTTCCGGGTTTTCGGTCTTAAAACATATATTCAACCAAAATTACCCAAATATTAATATTGATAACTAAAGGACTTCACAAATAAAACATAAAATAGTATGTCCCTTTTCTATATAGATCAAATTTCAAAAATATTAACCATTAACAACGGAGATTTTCTACGTTTCCAGTTTTCAGTGTTTTTTTCACTAAAAATCACTCATTTCACCTCAAAATTACTTCAATATGAATAATAATAACTAGAGGACTACATAATACTCTATTAAGATAAGGTTTCCTGTCTTCAACAAGCTTTAGGTCTAAAAATGTAACCATAAATAACAATTTTTCTTCTTTTCCAGTTTTCAGCATTTTTTCTCTAAAAACCACATATTTCACCCCAAAAAAACCTTTTCCGCAAATTATATCAATGTATAGTTTTAGTATGTTGTTAGTACAAGTCTGTATTATAATTTGCACTAAAAAAACCTTGTGTTGCAATTAGTTGCAGGTTGAGCGATTTTAGAGCTAAATATGACGTTATGCTGGTATGTACGAAATATTAGATTTACGATTCGTGGAATTTTTATATTCAACTCAATAAAAGTGTTGACCATAAGAGAAATATGTTTAACAACTCGTTATTTAATATAAATAGTAATTATTATATTGAAATTACTCATAACTTATAGTGTGTCTTTCTTTGTTGTGATGTTACACTATTGTTTCAGATGAGGGTGAAGGTTTGGTACCATTAAAACGTTTAAACCCGCTGCAGTTGTTTGCACCTGTCCTAAGTCAGGAATCTGATGTTCAGTAGTTGTCGTTTGTTGATGTGGTTCGTAAGTGTTTCGCGATTCTCGTTTTTTATATAGATTAGACCGTTGGTTTTCCCGTTTGAGTGGTTTTACACTAGTTATTTTTGGAGCCCTTTATAGCTTGCTGTTCGGTGTGAGCCAAGGCTCCGTGTTGAAGATCGTACTTTGACCTATAATGATTTACTTTTATAAATTTTGACTTGGATGGAGTGTTGTCTCATTGGCACTCATACCACATCTTCTTATATCTAGTCAACAATATATTTAAACATGTTAACTGAGATAATTATGTGATGCAATTACGAGCCATTGATATGTTAACCTATATTCTTTCATAGAGGGTTGCTGCTTACTAGGAAGCTATTGAACAAAGTGGCGAAGTTGAAATCATCCTTTCAAAAATTTTACGGACGCCATCACGAGTTTGTTGACCGTTATTGAATATCTATTTCACAGATGACGACGGATATGTTCCAATTTTCGTAACCACAACCCCGTCCTCTTTTCCTTGAATGACTAACCGAATTAGACTTATCACCGGGTTTGTACTTACACGAGCAACATGATGGGTCCACGATTTAAAGATGGTTAATCGTATCTACAAGAAAGTTGGTAGAACGTTACATTCTTATATAAAAATGAGCTTGAGGTTAGGATATTTTATATCCATAGATGTTTTCTTAAGTCATGCCATATTTATGTTAGAAAATGTTGGCCCTATCCATCTTCTACCTTGTCATTGCAACTTCTCGCCGCAGATCTTGATTTGAATATATGACACTTAATATGCTGTTGGTTCTTGATATGCAAATATGCATTTATTTGAGATGTAAATGCGTCTGAGTTAACACTTGAAAAAAATATTTATATTATCAGCTTCTTTGAATTCATGCATGTCAGTCACTAGGATACTAAAATGTCAATACATTTTAGATGCGGACAGTTTTAGTTTTTGGATCTGATATTGATTGTAAAAGTATAGCGAAAATTAAGACACCACAAAAATTGTATGGTAGTTCTTATTTCGAACGCGTTCATACTTAAGATCTTTCCAAAATTATATAAAAAGAGGAGTGGTTAAAAGTGTCTGTAAAATTTTCAAGGATTTGAAAAACAAAACAAAAAGAAGCAAAATAAACCATAGCAATTAAAAACCGGTGCTGAACGCTAGTTCTTGGGAGGAAAGAATTTAAGATATCTTTTTGTTTTTTTTATGTGATTGCGTTCCTGATTCAAATATTCGGCAAAAATCAATAATTTTAATTTCATATTGCTAAAACTGATTTGGCTGACTTTGATTATTCATTGTAAATGTAATGTAATATGTTATGCCTGAAAGTTAGTTTAAAAAAAATGAAAACATAGTGTTACTATAGAAAGGAATTTGTTTCCTATAATTGTTCAAAATATACATGTCTCATCATGGCTATACGTTAATTTTTCTATAATTTTAGTTCATTTGTCAAATGATCATTTGTGAATTACAACAAACATGCTCTTATTTTACATGTCTCCGTTCCAGAAAAAGTTTGAATATTTCAGAATCCTGCAATGTTTGTTTCATACAGCTTTGCTTCTGTAGATTTATGACCTGGACCCTTAGTGCATCCTATGTATAGGTGTCCCGTCGTGTTGAAGGCAAGCGAATATGGAAATTGTATTCCTATTTCCTCAGTATTGAAATATGAAATAAAATTACCATTGTTATTTAGGATGTGCAAGATTGGAATATCCCGATCAATCACAACAACATTGTCACTTGGTGTTGTCACAATATGTCGTGGTTTAAATGGTGAAGTCTTATTGGTAGCTGAAAGACCTGAGTACTTGTAAATTAGATGTCCATCATGTCCTAAGACCACAACTTTTCCACTGAAGTCTTCTGAAATCTGATCCACTACATGTATATTTCCATTATTGGTACTCGTTATGCGTTTCGGAACAGTAATTAAAGTAGGACTATGTTGATCATGTTTATATACAAATTCCTTGTCTCCTTTTTTGTTCATTATGATCACAGAGCTTCTTTGTTCATCACTATAAGCTCCTACTAGGAGTTTACTGCCACTGATAACATGGATTGCTATAGGGAAAAATGGGTTGACATCATAGACAGAATCAACCAGTTCACCTGCATTGCTGATTTGTTGTAACCTCGTTTTCCCTTCCATACTAATAAGGAGTTGATTAGATGGGGTAACTGCTATTCCATACACTTTAATGTTAAATTTAGATATTACCTTCAGATTGGTTTCTTCCGGTTTTACTCTCTGTAACATTCCATGAGAGCCGGAACTTAACCAAAATGACCGGTCAAGGCATGGACTAACGTATGATATCGACTCAAGTTCAGTGTGGTACTCATTATTGATCACTAAGGAGATGTTTATTTCTGCCGACAAACTCCCATCATCTTTAAATGATCCAATGTCTGATTGGGTAAAACTACCAGGAACAAATTTTGGCGAAAATCTATAGCTTGGCTTTGTTTGTGGTTCTTTGGTTTCAGTAGATATCTGCATCATATTAACCCCTTTGAAGAATTCAGTAGCATCGGAAATTTCAATAAAGTTTTGGACTTCATTGATTTTGTCCTCTGTCTGGTTTGTGAAATTTAATATATTATTAAGATCTGACTTAACTGATATCAAAACTGTTTCATGATTTTGATCCAATGTATCTATAAGTTCTTTAAAATAGTTATCAACTTGTTCTTTAACTCCTTTCTCATGACTAAGAATAGTTTGTCTTACTTGTGAATACTTTAAATTTTCCGCTGACACTACTTTGTTGAGTTCAGTTTTCATTGCATTCATTTTAGAACTACTCTTTTTCATTTTACTTTGACTTTTTTCCAGTCTTTCTACTTTCATGTTGTATGCATCACGGATTTCAATAAAATCATGCTTTTTATGAACTTTAGCAATACAGGTTGGACACACGAGGATGTCACATGTATTACAGTAAAGACATGATGATAGTCCAGCATGTTCTTGACACTTAATATTGGTAATATCTATTTTTTCAGTATGCAGTTCAACCTCTTTTGTACTGATGATCCTATGATCTTGGGCATTTTTGAATTTGGAATGTACATTGTCCTTGCAATGACCACACAACAGCAGACTGCAGTCCATACATTTCCATTGTATTAGTCTATCTGATTCACATAATTTACAATTTACAGGAACCTGACCTTTTCTAACTGACTGGGAGAACGCCATATTTATTAGCTATGTATTTCATTTCCTTGTTTGGTGTGTTTCTCAGTTGTTAAGATCAACAACGTTAAAATATATTGTATGTACTTAACATATCGATTACATGATAACAGTTAGCATTTAATGTGCATATTACAAAAGATTTGTCCTTTTATATCATCAATTGGCGAATTTAAATTTTGATCAAGTTGTGAAAAGTTTAAGCGCATTTCTAGTGAAAGGTTATTAATGTGACGTATGTTCAGTGCAAAAAAAAAACAGTAATCTTACCATCAAATAACAGTATTGACTTTCTGTTTAATTAATACACCCTGAAGACAAAATAAGGAGATTATAGTCACCGCTTTGTCTATACGGCCATTTGTCCCTTATGTCTGTCTTTTGTTCGTCTGTGTGTCTAAAACAAATGGTTTCCTGATGATAACTTAAGTACTCTTTGTTTGATTAGAATATAACTTGACGGGAGATACAGAGAAGGGAAAGAAACATATCGATGTTTTGATCAATATGTCAAGTTTAAGGTCATTGTTACTCAAAATAGAAAATTGTATCTGGATGATAACTTTAGTTTCCATAACTTTTTTCAAATGAAACTCAGACAGATGGAAGATTTAAGGAAGGGGAAGACGTCTATTGATTTTAATTTCAATAGATCAAATTAACATCACTGCAACTATGTTTAAGATATTTTGAGAAAAATGTTTTTCCGATGGTAATTTTGGGTCTTCCTTGTTTGATATGAATACAACTGCATAGATGGAATATTGTAATTGCCCTAATGATTTTAATGCCAATAGTTCAAAAACAAAAAAAAGTGAAATGCGGAGGAAGAATACTGATTTAAGTTCGATTGGTCAAAACAGGTCATACTTGATAAGGATCGCCATATGTATGTACAACCTTTTCCCGATTGTGACATTTTTGCTGAGTGTAGATAAGTATAATGGGTGATTCATGCATAACAGTAGACGCTTACCCTGTAGACTGATCCAGACTTATAGGACATCATGCGTTTCCCTCAGTTTTTGTTTGTTACATTCTAAATCGATTTAAATTTTCACCCCGATTAAATACTGTCGCCTTTATTTAAATAACGTAAATAACATAGGATAATTTGAAATACTGCATTACAAAGACAAAAGGTATAAGATGTACTTGAACATGTTTTTCTAATCTGAATAGACATTTAACTAGTGCATAAAGATATAAGAAACATAAAATTTTAGAAAATAATAGATCACCTTCTACATATAAGTTTTTATTCATGATATGGTAGACAAACGATCTCTTTTTTATAATTCATGTTTTTTATATCTATATGTTCTCATGTAAATATCAGAATAAGAAGATATGGTTTGATTGCCATAGAGACAACTATATATCAAAGTTCAAATGAAATGGATGTAAGCAAAACATATTTCAGATTAGAGAACACATACATCGTTTACGGTTTTTCTTTGTACTGCAGTATTTCAAATTATCTTATGTTATTTAGGTTAGCTAACAATGATAACCATAGTTTACAGATATTAAAATCTCGTAAATCTATCAAAAAGAGACAAACTAAGCTAACAAACAAAAACTAAGGAAATTGCATGAACTCTAAAATGAGCGAGGCCATGTGTGTCGGCAGGGTCAATTCTCTATCTTTGAATGCATCAACCGCCATGTGAATCCACACTCAATCATTATTTCACAATCGGAAAAATAGGAATAGGGAATAGGACACAATTAGTAAAATTACAGATCAGATGACTTTACTCGTATCTAAAGATCATACACCGGAAAAACATTTTGCTAGTGAATTAAAACACATACCTATCGTATCGATCAACTAGTTCGTGATGGTGTCCATATAATTTATATATGTCGATTTCAGTCATTTGATTGGAACAGGTTTTTTGTGCAAGGATAACATTCTGTTTAAGATATGAAAACGCTATGACTTTTGGCACACGATATGTTACTGCTGTGAAATGGGACGTTGACAAATGGGAAGTTGAAATCGTCACGTTTGATATATATTCTGGTTTGAAGTCTTCATCTGTGTTAATATCTGTATCAAGATTTAAAGCAGACCTTCTAATTTGGTAGTATCCTAAATATCAAGTTCACTAGGATATTTGAGATGCAAGCATTCGCCGAAATTTTGTATATTGGGTGACATGACACCATTAATTTATCTGAATGTGAAATTAGAGAACCAAGCAAAATGCATGATCTTTTTGTATTTGAGAAAAAAAGTAAAACAACAAAAATACCGAACTCCAAGGAAAATTCAAAACGGAAAGACCCTTAACAATTGGCAAAATCAAAAGCTCAAACACATCAAACTAATGGAAAACAACTGTCATATTCCTGACTTGGTACAGGCATGTAGAAAATGATGATTGGTTTTAAAACTAGCTAAACCTCTCACAGCAAACAGACATAATAGATAAAAATGTCAAAATAGGGGCACAGCAGTCAACATTGTGTTATAATTTCAATCACTATAAAAACAAACAAATGTGTCAACAAAGAAAAACAAAATTGCATATAGACAAAGCACATACGCAAAAATGAAACACAAGAATACAAAAGATGACCACAGCACAACAACACAATGGCGGGATGTATAAGTACTGAGCCGCGCCTAAAGGATATTACCAAAAATGGACCAAACAGTAAACGTTAATAATTTACAAAGACAAATAAAAGAACACTATAACACGTAATTAAGATGATAAACAACGTCAGTACATAGAATCTATACATCAAGACCACCATATATTATTTGTGAAGTTGATACGGAATATTTATCAACAAGGTCTTGGTATCTCCCGATGAACTTTTTTTTAGTAAAAGGACGAGACGTTCTTTGACATAACCCGGGTTCATCAACTTTCTGCTCAGACACTGGTGACGTTTTATAAAGTCTGAGTAGCAGATGCAAGCTCTTGAATACCGAATGAGTTGGGAAATGTATATCCCATATGCAGGTAAAGTTGGTATATTACTACTAAGATTTTCTGTATGGATTCTGCTTCATATGAGCACAAAAAACAAGTCAGCAAATAGGGGTGCACAATCAATACTTATTCATTGCTATTGGAATACCGACTGTCTGCTGAAATATCAATCCACCAAACTCAACAAATATGTTGTCGATCAAAAAGTAGTTTTTATTATATCATCTTTCGTGTATTTGTTGTTGGTTCTTTACAAAGAAAGAGACTTTTGGGTCATTTTCACAATTAATTTTATGAAACTCTATTTCACCAAGTTTCCTAACACCTGTGAAACAATCTGCATGTAAATAAAACAAAACATACTTGTTTAATATTGCAGTTTATGATTTTTCAGTGTCTACTGTTTCACATAATTTACAGTTAACAGCAACTTGAACTTTTCTAACTGACTTGGATTTTTCTGTACTTTCTTTCTTCCATTTTTAATGTTTTCCTTTGGTTGTTAGGATTTGTATTATATAGATTGAAAACGTGATAGCAGATATATTGCATTTTATTTATCAGTATGAAACTGAAGTTTAAAGTCGAGGACACTGTTAATTTTATGATATACAAGAAAAGTGCACCTTATCTTAAAACAAATTGGGATGTACAGCTTGATCAATATCAACTGTGTTTGATAATTATTCTAAATACTAAATATTTTCTTATCCTAGGCAGATAACCTAGCCGTATTTGGCACAACTTTTTGGAATTTTGGGTCATCAATGCTCTTCATCTTTAGGCCTGACACCTATTAGCTTGTCGTAATGTTCTATTGTATTGTTTATTTGTGTGTTTCTCTGTCCTGCGTGTTCTTCCATTTATTTGTATTGTAGTCCTGTCATGTAACGTTGTCATTTTAGTGTTATATTTAACATTGCCATTAAAGCGGGATGTTTGGCTAGCCACAAAACCAGGTTCAACCCACCATTTTTTCTTAGAATGTCCTGTACCAAGTCAGGAAAATGGCCATTGTTATATTATAGTTCGTTTCTGTGTGTTTTGCATTTTAGTGTTGTGTTTCTGTTGTGTCGTTGTTCTCCTCTTATATTTGATGTGTTTCCCTCAGTTTTAGTTTGTTACCCGGATTTGTTTTTTTCTCAATCGATTTATGAATTTCGAATAGCGGTATACTACTGTTGCCTTTATTTATAGATGTAAAATATATAACAATATCTCTGTAAAACATAGCCATTGTTTGCGTTACAATTATGTGTTATTTTTTCAAGATTGCACTCTACCGAAATGTACAATTTAATCTATTACTATCCACAACTATCGTCTCCTTTCTATAAACATTTATAAATTTAATAACGATCAGTAAACACATTGGAAACATGTCAGGCTCATATCTTCTTACTGCTTTCCTTAAACAAGCTTTAATGGTCAAGATAGTTAAATGCATTTGACCATTAGGTTGTTTATTTCATATATCAGAATTCATTTCGGTTTCAGTAAAATTGGAAAAAAATGCCTTGCTTATGACAACAAAGAACCTTAATAGTACCTGTATACACGAACGAGAAAAAAATATTTATCAAATAGTTATAAAATGGCAAGAGCGATAGTTTTACCGATGCTCGTCCGGTCATTCTGTCCTTCCAAACACTATTAGTTGTCAAGACTTTTTTCGCTACGCTTGTTGATGTTGTGCTGATATTTTTGTGTAGATGTATGTTGTTTTGTTAATGTTTCGTTTCGTTCTGTTGGCTTACTTTTACTTTGAAAGAGGTGGAGTTAAGAGGCGCCCCTACCCTACCCTGTTGAGCTACATATATGGTTAATGCATTGACTTTAACAAGTCCCTCTCATGGCGTTGCCTTGGTGGGTCCCCCTTTTAAAATCCTGAATCCACAACTATTAGGTCCCATCCGTGCTTTCCTGATTCATTGATAAACTGAGTTCAGTAGCATTAACATTATACACAATATGTTATTATCCCCGAAACATTTTCATTCTATAGTCGCCATATTTGATATGCAATTAAAACTCAGTTGAGTATATAATATTTAATTCAATTAAAAACGTTCACACCTTCGTCAGCCATTATACATTAACCATTACGAGAAGACCTATCTAAAGAAATACAAACGAATGAAAAGTATATAAAGGAATATTTTATTTGTGCTTTGATTCCCTGAGTTTCTGTAGCATTGCAATTATTTCCGACAGAACTCTAGAGGAATGTGAAAAGCTGTTTTCATCTGAAAAAAATGTTAATAAAATTAGCAACCCTTCAAATTAAAAGAATGAGGGCTAAAACATAGTACATAAAATTAAACTTTCGATGACGCAGGTCAAAATAGTCTTTAGTATATATCTTTTTCTCTCATAATTTTGTGGTCTTAATTTATGACATGGGGATAACAATTTGCTAAATGTAATGGTGTCTTGCATGTTTACTCTTTAACTGTAAACAAATTACATACAATAAATTTACAATATACAAAGAAGGGATGTTTTCATAAATGGCCGCGATAAAATATTCCCTTTTGAATATTGATAAACTTTAAAAGAAAAAAAAGAAAAAGAAAATGTTTCACCGGAGAGAAGAAACGATTAAACGATTACAATCGAAGTTGTTATAAATTTTCGGTTGGTCGATTTTGTAAAGGTTATATTAAAAAAATACAGTTTAAACTCCACTGTCAATTTTTGCTATTTTCTAGGCAGTTCTGGTTATATATCTCCACTTTAGCTGTTTCAATTTTTGTTGCTTTGACTTCCTGAACACGGTCAACTAAGAAACGTGTATTAAACGCAGAAAAGTTTTTAAAACATAGGCGAAAGATACCAAAAGGACATTCAAACTCATAAGTTGAAAATAAGTTACCAACGCCATGGCAAATTACGCACAAGATGATACAAACATACCAGTTCCTTGTTTTTCAGTCTTGCTAGTGTCGGTAATGGAAGCTTTACTTTCTGGAACCCCTTTGAATGAAAGTTTTAAGAGAGATGAAAAAAACAATAGTATTAACATGTTTTCCTACTTTAACTAGATTTGTTTCTATAGAAATCGACAACGTTGGACGACTCAAAACTGTCTATGACAAACAGGGCGATTTATTTTTTTTTCATCTAATTGTACTGCATGTATGTATTCTTAATTGATGTAACATTGAAGCAAACTCTCATACAGATTTAATACATATTGTAGTACTACCCCCCATCCTTTCCAAAAAAACACAAAAATAAACCCCAAAGAAACACAATCACAAATGCAAATCAACCAAAAAATCTAAATAATAAAAAAAAACAAAAACAAAATAGAAAGCACCAATAAACAAAAATATTACAAACTACATAAACAGGGGTTACAAAAGAATATGTTGTACATAGAGATACATTCATTAATAAAACATATATAATGTGTACTTTTTTAAATAATAACAATTCTATAACAAAAACGTAAAATCATAAAAAAAACTATTTTTGTAATGGATGTCAGTTTTATACCTTTAGCCCTATCAGTGAGTTCTATTTAATTAAACAAAAGCAATATTCAATACTTAACGAGTGATTTTCAAATTATTTTTTTTTCAATTTGTTTACGCTTTTTTTTTGTTTCATCTCCATACATCCCATATACCATTGTCATTGATAATCAATATATAAAAACCTGAGTATACAGTTTTAAAAAAATTACCAGGCCAAGCATCTGACCATTTTCCATTCCACGACTCTTTACTGTTTGTCGACCCCTTTGTACCTTTTTGTCCTAAAAATGAAACAATTCAATTCACAATATCAAACCGCACATTGAAATGTTGGGCACCTTTTTGCTTGTTGAAATACCACATGATGGGAAAGTTATTTTGAAAAATAAAAAAAGGCATGAGCTGAGATCTGATTATCATTATTGGTTTTTTACGTCATTCGTAATTCTCAATTATTATGGTTATAAATGATCGTACATGCTTAAACAGAAGTATAACAGGACAAGAATATGAAGCCCTTACATTGCAGGGAGGAACTGTACAGCTGTTGTAAACAACTTTTTAGGAAACGTTGTAGACAGCACAGGCTGTACTGTTTACTTTGGTCATCTGTCTATTTTATACTTTAGACGTCAAAGCGTTTTATAGAATTTTCATGGACACAATTCTTCTAAATTCAAGATTTTAAGATGCGATTCTTGTTAACCATTCCGTTATATGCTTATATATTTACTAAAACTTACTTTTGGTAATATTTTTTATGAATATTTTTTTTTTTAGTTACTGAAAAGTATTTAGTTTCAAGTTACCAGGCATTTCCTGTTTCCATGCTTCGGCCCAAGATTTTGCCGTATCACTGTCTGACGAAGATTTTCCTACAACATGAGAAGCTAATTGAAAATTGAACATTTCTGAGATATTTTATGTAAAAAGATGATGGTTTATGTTTATTAGTCATTTGTGTTGACAAAGAATATTCTTTATATGTTCATTTTTCTATAAATTTACTGTGAATTTTTCGAAAGACTTTGGTTTTTCTACCCCAGCTATAGATTGCATTAGCCTTATTTGGCACAATTTTTTGAAACTGTGTTTTTTAATGCTCTTTAAATTCAAATTCGAATTTGATTAGGCCTTCTAACTGTTTTCATTCGAGCGTCACTGATGAGTCTTATGTATAACAAGACACGTTTGTGGTGTACAGAATTATAAGCCACTACTGGTGAACGGTTCGTTCCCTGGAGTATCACTAGTCTAGTAGTTAGAACTTTTGTGTTGGCATGAAATATCATTGAAATGTTAATTTTTTTGTCGATTTACTGTCTATAAAAAATGCTGAATTATTAAAACAAACTAAGGTTTTCTAGCTCCAGGTATAGATTGCCTCATCCTCATTTGACACAACTTTTTTTGATTTTCAGTTTCACTTTATTGCTCTTCAACTTCGTATTTGATTTGGCCTCCCAACTGCTTTGATTCGAGTGTGTCTCTGATGAGTTTTACGTATACGAAACGCGCGTCTGGCGTACAAATTATAAACCTTGTATTTTTTATGAGATTTTATGTATCAATATTTATAATAGAACAAAGAAACAGCAAATTTTCCACAAAAGTTGTTGGTGGTTTTTCTTACTTTGCAAGTTCTTTTTTGAATTTGGCTGCGACTAAAGAATTATCATCAAACACAGGATATCAAATCTAATCATGTATGCTTATAGTTCTGCACTGCTATAACCTTTTAAATGCATTGGGCACATTTCATTGTGGAATTATATGCGACTATCATACAAGTGAGAGGTTCAGCTAGCTATAAAACCAAATTTAATCCACCATTTTCTACATAAGGAAATGCCTGTACCAGGTCAGTAATATGATATTTGTTTCCCATTTGATTGATGTGTTTGAGCTTTTGATTTTGCCATGTTATAAAGAACATTCCGTTTTGAATTTCCCTTGGAGTTTGGTATTTTTGTTATTTCACTTTTTGATTGATTTTGTATAGTATATTGCTTTGTTTTGCTATAACATCAGCGACTCTAGTTAAGAACCGCAGAAATGTTGAAATCCGTGCAAATACTATACATCCGGTCACATACCAAGAGCAAGTAGTACAACAGTTTTAGTTGTCCTAAATACTTAATATTTTCAAATGTTTGTCATTGTGATTTTATATACTACCGTTAACCTATGGGTGTTTTCTCATTATTGCAGTGACCAATAGCTTCATCGATGTTTGCTTTAAATTGTTGGCGTTTTTATACATTAAGTATTTATACTGTTTCCATTCTAACAACAATAAGTCCTGACTTAAACATGTATTATTCCATATTTATTTCAGATATATTTAACCCTTCTACCAAGAAATTTGTTTCGCATGCACACGTATAAAAATTGCGGTTTTTGTCCAACGCAATCATAGGTTTGAACGTTGTTTTCAATTTAGACTTATTTATATTTTTTCGTTTGGGCTTGTATTATATTTGCCTTCGGGTTTATATGATCCGTTCATCCTATTTTGACTCTTTAAAATTCAAGAGTCTATCCTAAATTGAGGTAAATTATATGGCCTTCCAAATACTGTTTCGATTGCTAACATCACTGAAGAGACATTAATTGTCGAAATCCGGATATGGTGTACAAATTTTTGCACCTCATGTTTGCGGTTTGCCATCTTTTCCGCAATTTTATTGTTTTCTATTTGGTATTAAATGAATAAATTAAATAAAGATTCATTTTGTTACATCTTGTGATCCGTTTATTTGGCAATCGCCAATGGCAGTCAGCAGGGTTTAAGAACATCCGTTGTTCGACCTGTTAGTCAAATGCGTTTGTTTAAATATACTTTTTAATTTTTTTGGTCTTTTGGAAAATGTTGTTTGTGCTGTATTTAGACCCTTCTACCAAGAAATTTGTTTTGCATGCACACGTATAAAAATTGCGGTTTTTATCCAACGCAATCATAGGTTTGAACGTTGTTTTCAATTTAGACTTATATATATATATATATATACCTGGCCATGAGCCGTCCCATGTCTTCAGGTTATCTTTCCCTAAAAAGGAAAACAAGCGTAGGAAAATTAGATATTAATTACAGATGTATCGAACTTTCAAAACCTTTCAGACATTATGTCAACGTTAAAAAAAATTAAAATGCTCGAACGTAAAACAGACTTAAAACAAGTGGATGTAGACAATCTTTTACAAAAGCTATTGCGAATTAGGGTGTATACATGTACATTGATTATGACATTGTCCCGACACATGTAAAATGGTGTGGATGTCAATATTCATCAGTTAAAGACAGGGGTAGATTTTGTCGGGATTGAGGTGCATTTTCCTTTGAATAATGGCATACAGGGAAGGACTATTAGATTTTTAGGGATGAGTCAAATGTATACATACGTCGTGAATCTACAATTGAAATAAAATTTAAATGAGAACGATATAACATACCATGCTGGTTATGGTTTCCATGGCCAGTAACAATCAATTGTTCTTCATTTGCAGTATTCCCAAAATGTGTTTCTACATTTAATTCTGATGATGTTGTTTCTATTGTCGTCTGCTCATTTTTGCTTTCACCTGTAAATGATTTTTTTTGCTACAATATTCGAAAAAGAGATAGAGCCAATTTCTCTTAAATTTTTTTTTCACTCCAGGATCATTTTCAAACTGTTTTCCAATCAATGAGAAATAATCATAATGACATGTACAGCTTCATTTGTGTACAAGATTTTGATGTATTTCTGAACATTATATCGTTCACATTTCTGAACGGTATATCGTTCAAATTGCAAACGCCCAAAGATTGTTCTAAGTGCAATTCTGTTCGATATGACCAATTTTATCGAAAAAAAAAACCTGATAGGATGGACATTCAAAGCCAAAACTAAACTCTTTTGGAAGTAACGCTATATGCTTTGTCTTTCAAACACAAATCATTTTTTGTTGGATAAGGATATTCTTGAAAACAATCTTTGTTAAAAAAAATATGCAAAATTTGCACAGCAATATATTAATACTGTCTTCAACATCAATGTATATCGCTGAATAACTTTTTGAATTTATAAACTTTATGGCTATGAATGTAGGAATCATTTCCTTGCTGTGCATGGGAAATCAAATTAACTTTCTTTGCTTTAAATCGTCAAAGCTAAACCGTATTACGAATATGTAATATGTCTTCGAATTACTGGTTTTGAAGTGCCTTTGAAGGTAAACTAAAAATCAACGCTTCGGATGCACCATAAGTGTTAAGTGAACTAATTATTATCAATAACAATAAGGAATAAAGAGTTGTCATTCTTTAGCTGTGAAACAAATAAATACTTGCAGTTTCATATATACAGTTCCGTACTATTCTACAGAGCAATTAAAACTTTAGCATTTGACCCATTTTTAATTTGAGCTAAACTTAGAACTTAGATAAGCTAAAAATGGATATAAGCTATGGGTTACCTGTATTTGGCCAAGAACCATCCCATGTCTGCTTCCAAGCTTTCTTGTTATTTACTGAAAAATACAAAAATGTATATATATGGAACAGCTAAACCACCTGTTTGTGCTATGCATTCAGTTTCGATGTGTTTACTACCATCAACTTGCTTAGAAATGGAAATAAGCTTAGACGTTGAATAAAAAAGAGCTAAAACTAATAATAAGCATATGAAGTACCACTTACAGTTTTTAAAGTATTGGTTTGGATCATATTTTCCTAAAAATCCAAGATCCCCTGGAATAAAAGCTACAAAGAGACAAAACATTTATATTATATAAAAAAGATTCAGTATAGGTATGAACAATGGACCTCTATTCGATTGCAAGTTTTTAGCAATTTCTATATGTTTAACTTTATTCATTTATACTTGTCCCATACCAATACTGGTGAACCGTCAGTAACATGCAAATTCTTCATCAGTATAGCCAATGTAGCCTATCCAGCGCACTTAGCATGATTGATTAATACAAGCATTTTGGGTATGCTATAAGTTGCTTTTTCAATTCTCTTTGATAACGTTTATATTCGCTGGTTTTGGATATTTAATTTATATCTTTTTCGGTTATGTGGCTTGTCGTATGTTAATATGTCGTCGGCACTCCAAAAAAAACTTCGATCCTTTTCTGAATAAGGTTAAAACCGAAAAGATTTTCGGACGGAAATTGTTCTGTTTGATTAACTATACCATTATATACAAGAGGGTGCGAAATATTAACAATGTCTTTAAAAATCAAAATTTTTTATTCATATTCCTTCAAATGATTCCAATGTTCTAATTTGTCTTTGATCCGAATTAAAAGATTGGAATGATTTCGGAATACTACGTCGTTTTTCATGAAAGATTTTTTTTAAACTTTGTACCCTCAGGAACGACATGTAGTGTTCGACCTGTTTGAATTTAGTTTATGCTAGAACATTTTAAAGGGTTGTGATTTCCAAAATTCATATTTTTAAAACATCAAGAATTAAACTAAAGCTTTGGTTATGTACACAGTGGAAAAGACATCTGACATACTAAATAAACTGTATTACCTAAATTACAAATTTTAACAAATCAACAAGAAACTTGGATAAGAAAAATTATTAACTAGGAGAACTTTCCATCTTCATCAATCGGCTAATCACGTCTGCTCCATACTAAGAATTTTTTCTTAAAATAGACTCAGCTGCTATGATTGTTTTCATATCCGCAACTTTCCATTCTTGAGTAGTAACACCATATATGTCAAGGTCAAATCTCAATTGATATGATATGCCAAATTCTTATAAAACAGTTTTAAAAACAAAGTTACACTCTCATCTCAACTCAATAGCGGTCTTAGATCATTGTATGCCGGTGTAATCGTCTCGTCTGTGATTTTACCGATTGTGTCCTATTTCCGATTGTGATATTTTGACTACTTGAATTCGCATGCATAGCAGGAGACGCTTACCCTGTCGATGAACCCGTTCTATTTCCTTTTGAAATTCGTGCGATTCTTTCGGTTTTTAGTTGTTACCCTTATTTGCCCCTTCCTAATCGATTTACGAAATTTAAACATCGGTCAACTGCTGTTGTCTTAATTAATTTTAAAACTGACCTTATCAATGTGACAAAGAAGAACGACTTATCCCTATTCACATGTTACACGAATTGAATAATTGTTATACATCGTAGTTTTGTAATTATTGCGGAAATCATATAATACCCTTTCTCAATAATAATGTTTCAACTCTGTCATACATCCTTCATGACAAATCCACGTCAATCCAGTACCATGACTGTTTTTATATATATTCATTGCTTTAACACTTGCTAATGAATGTATATTAGGAATTACTTACCCTGTCGACGGCAAAAATCTTATTACTTTGAAGATTTATGAGATTAGTGTGTTTTTTTTTTATTTCCATCTCTGAATGTTTTACCTTATCAGCTGACATTCGTTGACAACCTCCATGTGATATGACGAAAACGTGAATATCAATCTTCACATACTCGACGAAACAACACATTTTTGGTTAAAAAAAAATGCACAAGGATCAATTTTGAAAAAAAATGTTTGCCCATAATTTAATTTCCAAACATTTATTGAAAATCTAGGCAAGTCGCATCAATCAGTCATATTATTTTGAATGGCAGACCATATTCACGTATATGGAATCAGTATTATATGCCAGTATGCAGATGTTCAAAAGTGTTTGTGTTGCGGGAGGGTCCACCTGAGCTATTATTGTCACTTGGCGTCCGTCGTCGTAGTAATTAAATAATAAAAAAACATGTCAATCTATTCTAAACTTCGCCATAATAAACCTATAAGTGTCTTCTTTAAAATTTGAGTAGATTATACTCATTACACAATTTTGTTTTACCGCCATGGCTTAATATAGAACATAATGGTAAACAGCAAAGTAATCAGCAAATAGGTCATCATAATAGAAATCAACAGAAATCGATATTTGCAGTTATTTCTTATTAGAGTTATTGCCCTTAAATGGCGTATTTAACCCATTTTCCGGTTTTTGGCTATTATTTCGGAAAACTAGAATACATGACCCCTATGGTACGACTTAAAAGACATTCAGGGAAATTCGTTTAAATTGTCTTATAGGACTTGCAAGGCGAATTGGCTCCATGCGTGTTCACAATAATCCTTATATATGATTACGTTGACTATGTCACTCTGCTAAGCAACAAACATGGCCTTACTACTTTATATCAAGACAACTTTGTTTAAATATTGAACACACAGAGTGTTTTCAGATTTGAGACAGATTTATCAGTCTATTAAGCCCCCAGTCGATGAATCCTCGGTAAATATCGTGTGATTTCATAGTTTGGCTAATTAGGTTACACATGCGCAGTTAATCATGGAACTGGATTATTTTCATTGATGTTTCTGCTATTTGTCAAACAATGGCCGCCACATTCAAACTTTTCAAAGGGGGACATATAGAGAAAATATATGTTAGTATAAAAATAAATAATCATGAATAGCATTGCTCTTTAATTTATATAACTGTAATGCACATGTATCTACTTTTAGTGCCAAGCGAGAGGATCAGGCTCATGCTAGCCTCAAGTTAAAAGAGTAAAACACTACATACACACATCATTTGTCATGTTCAAAGTGACAGAGGCATCAGCAATTTAGATAGTAAAGATTAGAAAATACAAACAAAAAGCAAATAGGTAGTAATACATATAAAGATATGAGGGATGGTAAATGAGATAACTATACATAAAGACCAAATGACAAAGATGAAAACAATAACAAGTCCCCATACGGTGTTTTTAAATATTTCGGTATCACACGGGAAACTCCATACTAAAATTTACGACAACAACAACAAAAAAAAACGATTTTTAGATCCCTATTGTTACTTTTCCTTTTTTGTACGGTGATGTTCCTTTAGCTCAATCTTACAGTGTTTATTTATCCCAACTCGTTCGCTATGCCCGTGTCCGTACTGACGTTAAAGATTTTAATGAACATAATCTATGTATTACTGGTAAATAATTAATTCAGGGATTTCGTTATCACAAATTACTGAAAACCTTTACTACATTATTTTATAGATACAAACAGCTGTTTTGGAAGTTTTGATGGTACCTGTAGAAAGCTTATTATTAACGGTTTTATAACATCCTGATTTTTGCGGTGATGTTGCTTTGAAATCCCGTAAAACTAGATACTATCCAGGTAAGCCTATCGATCATTAAAAATAAACTTATTCTAAAAGGTTATCAATTTAATAAAATCGTTGAATATTGTTTTAATCTACTCATATTGATTTTGTTATCAAAAATTTACATCGTAACTAAATATGTATTGCTATATTTATTAACACTTACTGTTCTACATCCTGTCGATACTTAAATTTTGGCATTGCATAAGGGCATGTTTCCGAACGTCTTTACACCAAATCCATTGGATAGGTGCTAATTGATATTTTGTCTTGGATACATTTTTTTATTAGTTGTTATTGGCTCTTAACTAGCCTTCGGTAACTTTGAGTACCCTCAAATCGGTATTTTATATATCCAGTCAGGAACCTGTACTTCAGTGGTTGTCGTTTGTTGCTGTATACCATAATTGTTCTTAATTTGTTGCTTTGCAAATAAATCAGGGCGTTAGTTTTCTCGTTTAAATTGTTTTACATTTTGTCAAGTCGGTGCCATGTCATTTGGTCTCCAGTGGATAGTTGTATCGATGGCAATCATATCACATCTCCCTATTTGATATTCTTTCAACTGATTTTTGAGACTTTTTCAATTTTCTATCATACATCCCGCGACAGGTTAACAGAAGTTAAGCGAAAGGTCTTTGGATACTCGTAAAGTTGTATGTTCATAATCATTATAAAAACAATAGCCAAAAACCGTAATGAGTAAGCTCTACGATATTTGGATTAAGAGTTGAATGTCAGGTTAAACCTGCTAACGTTAGGCGATTTGGCAACAAGCATGTTTTACAAGATGCAAAAGTTATATATATAAAATTTTATTTCTGTTAAATTATGCATACACCAAATGTTGTTACTGTGCTGAGTGTTGTAAAATTCTAGTTAACAACAGTGAACTACCCTTCCCTAGAAATAAAAATATGGTTATGTTGATTTTTGATTGCTTGTTGTTAAATATGTCTATTGTGGTATTCTGTATATAAGAAATGAATGCTTCTTTTTGTAATTTTATTGGGGTGTAAAAGCGGTGACCGAAGCAATGTTTGTTTCCGATCTGCTTCATACTAAGAATCTGCGCACGATCAACGCTTTTGCACAGAATAAAATTACAAAAAGAAGCATTCAATCTTATAATTATATTTTTATGCTTTAGCCGGGAAAATCTTTTTTTTCTGTTTTTTTTCTCTATGTAATGTTGTCACGGGAGGCACGTGCTGTCATGGATGTTGCATTTTATTGAATGCCTCTCGATTGTTGTCAGGCAATCAAAAGTACAGATTCCTATGAAACATACATGTATATGTGTAATTATTCATGGTTGGCCGTCACATTGACGTATGCAAAACGTCTTCTTTTATTCATATTATCTAAATAAATGAAAATTCAAAATAATTGCTTTCTTTGGTATGTTTATTAATGATTAGTTTTATCATATTGATTCATGTTGTATTTAACCATTTTTTTAATAAGTGAAAAGTCTCTTGCAAAAATAACAGTGCACCTTTTTACAATTAAACCCTTTTGCAATTGGAATTCAACGTAAATTAAATCTCTATCTCAACAGAATTTTGTAAATCAACAAATGTTTTAGAAAATATTGCTTACCAGATTCTGTCTCCAAAGATCTTCCTAAAATTACAAAATATAAACCAAACAATAACTTGGTTGACATGATGGAATTATTCGAAAAGCACCTGTCCCGGTGACGCGCGCGTCATTGAAGATATGATATCAACCCGACATTGATAAGTAAGTTTATGTCTACAAAACGAGATATATAGATACCTTGAATTTTGAAAAATGATAATTATATTCGAATTATCATGCATTATCTTGGAAAAAAACAATTATGTATACGAAGCTTTGAAACAGGTACAAAAATGTGGGGCTTACATAGCATTTTATTCTGTTTGGTGCTTACATTTATATACGACAGATTGCATGTATGATTATTCTTTTTATATTGCAAAGATTATGAAAATCGTGAATTTTGAACATCCACTGAACCTGTATTTTTTTTGGAAAAGGCATAAATAAAATTCTACGGAAATATATTGTTCACGACACTAATAAGACTTTATACGGTCATTGACTATACCATCTTCCGTTGACTCTTTTGGCTTTCTCGAAGTTTTGCTTTTTATTACCGAGTGTGTGAGCAACAAACAATGTAAATAATACGGACGTTCCGTGCCACATTGATATGGTTATTGTTTACTGTAGTGATTGTTCAGTCAAAGTGTGCTGTATGCATATACATTTGTGATTTTCAGTCACTTGTTTCTTACGATTTATATCTGTAGAATTTTATATGCGACGGTACAAAGGAGTATTTTGTAAATTGTTCTGTGTAATTTCAAGCAGCATAAAGAGAATAAAAGTACATTGTCTCATGTTTAAATCTTATTTGTGTTCGTCACAAGACAGCTCATATGCCGTATTCATAGCGCAACCTAGATATATTTTTGCATACATTTTGTCGTCTACTTGATGTTAAAAATTATCATTTATAACAAAATAATAGTTAAAGAATGCATTTAAGCGGTATTTTATATGGAGAGACATTTATATTGTAAAAAGGTACGTACCTGTTAATGGTACAGAAAACCGATTACTAAATTTACCAGTTTGCCCACCTCCTGCAATACAAAGAACATTCTTAAATAAAAATCTTCAAAATATTTGATGTTTATCATTTGATGTTTATTATTTTAGTTCATTATAGAGAGGCGAAAGATACCAGAGGGATGTTCAAACTCACAAGTCGAAATCAAACTGACAACACCATGGCAAAAAATTAAAAACGACCAAAAGACAAACAGCCGTATACAAAACACAACATAGAAAACTAAAGACTTAGCAACAAGAACCCCACCAATATCCAGTGTGATATCAGGTGCTCCGGATAAAGATAACAAATAAAGAAATGATATTTTGTGTGCTTGCGTATTTGTTTATGTGGTAGCAATGTTCTTATACATTTTCTAAGACCAATATTCAAAATATGTTTATAAAGATAAATAACAGCCGTAAGTTTTTTCGTTGTTATAATTATGATCGCTTCGTGCTGCTCAGTCTTTAGTTTTCTATGTATTGTTTTATGGACTTATTCAAAATATGTTTATTAAGATAAATAACAGCCGTAAGTTTTTTCGTTGATATAATTATGATCGCTTCGTGCTGCTTAGTCTTTTCTATGTATCGTTTTATGGACTTGATGTCTTTTCGTCGTCTTTTTTTTTTTGTCATGGTGTTGTCAATTTATCTCGACTTATGAGTTTTGAATATTCCCTTGGTATCTTCCGCCTCTTCTTTTCGAATTTCCGTAGATTGTTATTTCACATTTGTTCTTTCCTAACTGTTTACCACACCATACATTAAAAGTTGCAATTAGTCAATGTTCAAGTCATAATGTTTAAAATGTATCTTTTTCTGCGTTTCGTAAAAAAAACCAGAAAAATGGTGTTATGCACTGTTCAACGAGATTCAGTGAAGTCATGTGTTTTTTAATGACCAGTGGTCAAGGTTTACGGGTTTGCTCCAAAAAGTATAGTTTTGTATTCTTGCAGCAGACGTTCGATAATAAACTACATTTTTTAAGTATATGTATGCATATGTTATTCTATTATTACTTTTTTTGGCCTTTTTAACTTTTTGATTCGAGCATCACTGATGAGTCTTTTGTAGACATAACGCGTGTCTGGCGTACACAATTTTAATCCTGGTATCTATGTTGAGTTTATTTATTTTTTTGTTTGTAAAAGGGTTTAAGCACAGGACTATGTGCTTTCTCTGGAAGCGCTGTTGGCATTTACCTGGAGATAGAGGTTTTCATGAAATCACATTTGTTTATTTGAGTTCCAATGTCCCCCGCGTTGCATATATTTTATATTTCCAAGGGGCATAACTCTTTTAAAAAAGTCGATCGGCCACCATTATAGAAACTTGTCCGAGATATTGCTGATATTAACCTATAGTATAAGTTTTATAAAAATCTGGCAAGAATTGTACCTGTGAGAGCGCTAACAAGACCGGACGGACGGACACACGGACGGACGTACTGACGCACGGACGGACGACCGGAATTTCCATGTCTCCGCAACGCGTTACGCGGGGGACAATAACCAAAAACTGTTAGGCTTATTATTATTATCTGGTGCTGTATTTTATATATATATATATTCGTGAATTGTTATAGTTTTAATTAAATTAAACGTCGGCTTCTTTGGCCGCAAGGCAAATAAAACAGAAATTGTTTGAGTTTTTTTTATCATTATGTAATTTTTTATAGTTGAGGATAAATTAAGTCTAGTAGTGTTATGGTATATTTGTCCGTCATCATTTGGATATAGAAATATGAATATGCGTTATAAAAAAACACAACTCCTGGTGATTTATGTACAAAACAATAAACAAAAAACAGATATGATAGACAGCGACCAACGACAACCACTGAATTACAGGCTCCTGACTTGGGACTTAAGTATGTTTGGACCATTAAGGATTGTACAGTTAATAAGTTTTCATTCTTACAAACAGAATGGCGATGCAAAACTTTATTGACGGAATCGTTGGTTTTTACTTGTTTGTTTCTTTATTCTTATATACATGACCCAAAAATCCTAAGAAACAAGACTTCACAGAATAAACTCTTTGATAACAAATAAGCATATCTTTTAGGTTTATGCAAACACTAGCAGAGGAAAGCGAAACTTCATTAAGTTACCATTCATAAAACCCATGGGGTCCATAAGCTTACTGCCTCCAGCAAACCTCTGGGCTCCTCCTGTTACAAAAACAATTTCAATAAAATAATACAAATATAAAAGATGTCGAATCTAATACGCAACAAGCCTCATGCTATGAAAATAAAGACAAAAAAAGTAGTGTCATGAAAAGTGAAGGTGTATTGAAAATAAAACAGAATTACAAATTTCTAAGAAAATGAATTGATGTACTTCAATGATATGCCATAACATCTGTCATTTGATAAATCAAAAATTTCAAGAATTTATAGCTGCAACAAGCAGTATGTTAGATGGAGAAAACATGATGATAGAGCTTTAAATTCGCAATAATTTTTTCTATTTTTTCAAATGACATGGTTCCAATGATAACAAGACATTATTTTGACGGATTACTTGAATTTAGGTCTATAAATTTACTTATTTTCAAAAGGTTCATTTTGAAACATAGCGATAAGCAAAATATATATTATCTCGCCACTGCCTCATGCAATGAACTTGATGTGAATGAAATGATTGTGGCTCATATTCAATTTTACCAAAAACCTATATACAAACTGACAAATTAAATATTCTACTTTTTTATAGGCCAAATACCGGCTCTTATGCACCATTCTAATACATATATTATACTACTTATTACATGATAAAATGTTCTACCTACCCTTCATCGCCCCTAAAGGATCCAACGGATTACCACCCGTCTGTCCTCCGGTTTGACTTGCAGAGCCACTGTCTAAAATAAATATTGTCTAAAAGTCTAAAAGAAGCGTTTGCAAAGCATAACACAAAGCAAGTCCTATAACATATGACTTCGGAGGGCATTAGTTTTTATTTTTGTTTATTTCTGATATTTTCTTATTACTTATTTTGCTAATTGTGATTTTTTTTTATTTTCTAATTTCTTTTTACTATCAATGTGCACCAAAACAAAAAAATAAAATATCCGCATAAAACGTTAAATAATAAAAAGAGAATGAGAAGGCATATATCATAGGACTAAGCACCAAGCTACATCATGAATTTTATAATGTCAACCATATAGAAATAACCCAAAAATCCAAAGCGCAAAGCATTTAGTGAAAAATTAAGCATAACACTTTCATTTAAAACTTTCTTTTTTGAAGTTGGAACTATTAGAAATTTAAGAGATCAAAACTCTTACTTGCGCCTCTGGATGTACCAGATGTTCCTCCCATCATTGCGTTCATGGGATTCGTACCGCTACCACTCCCACTTCCGCTTCCGGATCCTCCCATCATACCACTCATCATATTCATAGGATTCAAATTCATTCCACCTCCGCTACTGCCCCCCGTGCTTCCACCACTGCTTCCGCCTGTACTCATAACTGAATTAGCCCCACTCATCATTCCAGAGGATCCACCCATTAATGAACTTGCATCCATTTTGCTTGGGTCTCCACCTTTAGCTCCGCCAAACATGTTTAAGCTTGTACCTAACTGAGCTTGTTGCATATTGACAGAGCCAGGATCAAAGCCACCGTTAGTTTTACCTGTAACATTCATAGTTCAAATCCAGTCAAGAAACAACAATGATAATAATTTTGACGGTATCATTACGTTATTACCAATCTTGGTTAACCTTAACACATAAAAAATCCTCTTTTCGGAAGACCAAATATTGTTACAACTATCTCAAAATAATCCTTTTTATGAATAAAAAGAGATACCATGGGTTATGCGTCAATGAGACAGAAATCCAACGTTACAATTAACCAAAGTGCATATACAACTACAACTACAGACTGTACGTGTAGCGTATACATATCTCCACTGCAAACATTTTAAAATGCATCCTTAATTATCAAATCAATTACTAGTGTCGAAAAGAATATTTTTTGAAAGTAAAGAACACCTTCTCGATTTCTTCAGTTTAGGCCACAGTTGGGTTTTTTAGTTTTGCGTCCGTTTGCTGGTAGATTTTTAATGGTCTGCGGTATACAAAAAGACAAACGCAAAAATATTTGAGAAAATCGTACAAAAATCAAGAAATTATTATTCTAAGGCTTCATTTGAACTTTATACATGTGTAATGATCTCCTTAATCAGTATTTTGTTCAAAATTTAAAATATTATATATTACTGAATTGCAGTTTGTTGAATAAATTATTGAACAAGATCGATTTCCGTGTTAAAAATTTATTTTTGGGTGTATATTTAATCTTATATGGCCCTAGCTGAATTTGATAATTTATAGTTCTTAGTTCATTTTAGAATAAACAATGTACTATGCCACAAAAAAAAATCAGAATTAACTTTATATGTTCAATAGGAGAGTGCTGTATCCACGAACAATGTTTCACCATAAAAGTTTACATGCAGAGATGCTATAAATGCAAAGGTTTTAGGCGGAATTCAGCGTCTTGAATTTCGACATCTTAAAATTTAACAAATTTTAAAGAACATTTTGTTTCCATGAATCAACTTGACTGAAAAAAGAGGAATCATCCATCTTTTATTAGTTTCACTCAAAGTATTAAATAGGAAAGTCGTTGAAACTTAGTGGATTTGAATGTTTAAAACTCTGGATAATACGATTTAAAGAGTTTCATCAATTTTACATACAGTCTTAACAAAACATTATTCAAAGCTGAAAAGTTTTGATATGCTATTGCAAAGTTTTCATGTTTTGTCAAATTTTGCATCGAAGGACATCCGGTACCAAAATAAATTAACTTGCTTCTTAACGATAATAAGAAGCTTTACTTCCGCTAGAACTTTGTTCTATTTGAAATTCTCTTTCTTTCTCATTTCTTTTTAAAAGTTACCAAAATATACAAAAGAAAGCAATTTTGTAAGTTATCTCAAAGCTGTATATAATAGGGTAAAGTGTTCAGAATACAATGTAATGTTGTTAGCAGTTCAAGTTACACACATAAAGCCGTGATAAACATTGCATTTTATTCCAGTTGAAAAGATTTTGAAAGAGGCCCCGCTGTGAAATTCTTTTGGAAATTGGCTCTACCTCCTTATCCTCTAGGAATGACATTTTGGATGAATTTTATAATCTTGGTATTTCTGAGTAAATAAAGTGGTAATCAGATAAACTACCAGTCTGTATTTATATGATACTGTTATTGTAGATATTTACCACATCCTGTTTTCGGTCCCATGAATTTACTCATAGTATTTCCTCCTATAAAATATAAGAATAGTAACTAAATAAGCTAAAGTGTGCATAATCTATTAGATGTATGTATAGAAGGAAAAAAAAAACAATTCATGTTATCGAACAAATATTTCTATCATATATATTCCTCAGTGAAGGTCAACGTTCATGAAATACATTTGTATTGCAGCACGCAATTACAGCTAAATATGTTGAAATATAAAAATTCCTTTAGAGAAATTAAGTTTCCAAACATTTACTGAAAAGTTTGCATAGATGTTTTTTAATTTGACTTTTCTTGTGATAGTTTTACCCAAAACAGTAGTTGTCTAATCTGCACAATTATCAGTTCGTGGACATCAATCATACCTAAAAGCGGATTTAGTGGGTTAAAACCGGAAGTTCCTCCTGTATTGGCGGCTACTGGATCAAAAGAAGCTTGTTGTCCGCAATTTGACTGTTGACTTGTTGCTTGTTGTTGACCCCCTCCGACAGACTGAGGCTGCTGACTACCAGAGCCAGATTGAGGCTGTTGACTTCCAGAGCCAGATTGAGTCTGTTGACTACCAGAGCCAGATTGAGGCTGTTGACTACCAGAACCAGATTGAGACTGTTGACCCAATGCTTGACCAAAACTTGATGCTGAAGACTGTGATGGTTGACCTGAAGCTTGTCCAAAGCTAGATGCTGCCGATTGTGGTTGCTGTCCTGAGGCTTGGCCAAAACTAGACGGGGACTGTGATCCGGATTGTTGGCTTGGTTGACTCGTAGTCTGTTGCCCACCAGGCGGTTGTTGTTTTGCATTAAACCCCATACCGTTTGCAAAAGATGGTTTTGCTCCCCCTGAAGAACCACCCATTCCACTGTTTGCAGCATTAGGGTCATACTTGGCGCCAGTATTTACAGCATTGTTTGGGTCATACTTTGGCATTGTGTTTGAACTGCTACCACCACCACCACCATTCATTTGTTGTGCTCCACCAGACATCATCTGATTCTGATTGAATGACATTCCACCGGATGTTCCGCCAGATCCACCCGATGACATCTGTGCATTTGGGTTAAACATACCAGTTCCAGATGACTGACTTGATTGTGCAGGACTATTTGTTGACTGAGATGATTGACTCTGTTGGGAATTTTGTCCACTGTTTGAAGGTTGCTGTTGACCTCCCATCATGGCATTCGGATTAAACATACTTCCTCCTGATCCACCTGATGACTGAGACAGACCACCAAATTGACCTCCACCAGAGCTGCCACCAGAGGTGCCACCAGATCCACCCGATGACATCTGCGCATTCGGATTAAACATACTACCTCCTGATCCACCTGATGACTGAGACATACCTCCACCGGAACTGCCACCAGAGGTGCCACCAGATCCACCCGATGACATATGCGCATTCGGATTAAACATACTTCCTCCTGATCCACCTGATGACTGAGACATACCTCCACCAGAGCTGCCACCAGAGGTGCCAACAGAACCACCCGATGACATCTGCGCATTCGGATTAAACATACCAGTTCCAGATGACTGACTAGAACTTCCTGACTGCTGAGGATTACTTGTCGACTGTGATGATTGACTCTGCTGTGAACTTTGCCCACTGTTTGCAGGTTGCTGTTGACCTCCTCCCATCATAGCATTAGGGTTAAACATACTTCCACTAGAACCTCCACCTGTGTATTGGGACATCATCTTATTAGGGTTGAAGCTTCCATACAAAGAAGATGAGGACGAAGATCCACCAAGGAAACTCCCCATCATTGAATTAGGATTAAAACTTTGTCGGACTGTAAGAATTGTATTACGATTAAAATCAGGACTATCAAACAACATTGAATAAATACTATCTAGAAATATATATACATGTATATGTTAATATCAGGAATATAATACTAGTATATAAGTTTGCGACGTTGTGTTGATTTTTCATCGTTATGTCTTCATTTATATTTTGTGAGGCCTATCTAGTCCTTTGCTACATGTAAAAAGTGTAGTTTTCTTTTTCAATATCTCCATGGATATTAAAGACAAAACGGTTTGCAAAGAATGATAGGCTGATGGTACAATTCACTGTGGGTGACCTATTATGAGGTCCATCGTGGGAACTAACTGCTAATATCATAATCAAAATTTATCACTAATTACAAGGCATCAGCTTAAGCATTTCTTGATTATCAACGTTTTCAATTCGTTTCGAAGCACCCGATTTCATACCCGGATTTGGTGGGGTTCGTGTTGCGCAATATTTGGTAGCAATACACAGTTATGAGTTTGGTTTCGCATTTTTGCCCCTGTGAATTTTTCAAATATGAAAGTTATTGTGCAATAAAATCAATTATTAGATAGCTGAAGAATAATATAGCCTTCAAAGTGAGTTCATATGAACATCCAGTTTGTTTTTTGCATGTTTTATAGGACATTTTCTGTTTGACAGTCCGTATTTTCACATCCGGTACTGTCATAGGTCCAGAAATTATTGCAATGTTTTCCAACAAATATTTTAAGCTCGAACTTTTCAATTCAATTTTATGGAAAAAAGAGAAAAATGCATATGTTTTTTATTGGATCTCTTGATAGATAAATGTCAATGATTTTAGAAAAGGCATCTTTCAAATGGATTGAAATTCTACTTTGGACAAAATTATGGGGCATTTGTGACATTTTCACCCCCTTTTTGCAATATTTGTATCAAATAAATGCCGATTGTTGCCATGGTTACACCAAAAAGAGATTATATTTCGCCATTTTAATCATTGGAAATGAAATCTAAATGCTGTTTCTAAACATACGCACACACATTATACAACCAGTAAGCCTAATTTGTTACAAAGCAAGGGAAAGAGGGTGGTTAAAAATTGTGAGTGTCAATTTTAAGTTCTTTTCCTAACTGTGTATTGCTACCTTTAGTTTTCTCTTTTTTTGTGTATTGTGGACTTGTTTGTCGTTTCGTCGTTTTTCGTGCTTTGCCATGACGTTGTCTGTTTATATTCGTCTTATGAGTTTTTTTTAATGTCTCCTTGGTATTTTTCGCACTTTTTTATGTTATAATAAAATGTCATCTTTATTGTGTAGAACTGCTGACCCATCCGGAATCCTCGGTTTTTGGTTGCTACATGGTGCTCAATGTTTAGTTTTCTGTGTTTTGTTTTGTGGACTTGTTTATCTGTTAGTCTTTTTTTTTTATTTTGACGATGGTATTCCTGTCTTTGATCGACTTATGGTATTGATTACAATTTTATGGTATCTCCCTTCTCTCTTTTTTTTTTAAATTAAAAATGTGAATTTGGTCTATATGACACGTGATCTCAAAGATTATAAATCTAAAATAAATATGCTTTGTAAGTACCAGATACCGATCCAGGATTTTGAAAAAGGGGACCGCAGGCCCCCAAACTAGACAAAATGTGTAGAGGAACCGGTAAAAAGTCTGGATTAACCATAAATGCGGGCACCCCGCCCCCCTCTTCCCCCTTAAATCCGCCTCTGAGTACGTAATCAAAAACCTCCATTTCGATATCTGATTATGCGTAAGGGTGTTTGGAGTTGAACAGTGGTTTTGCTTGACATCTCATCCGTGACGCTTGTTTTCTCAATGACATTTGACCGATTTACATAAATTATAAATACGTAAAATAGATTTTTTTTTTAGAATTTCATCGCGAAAGTGTTGAAGGTGACAAATTCAGACTCACCATTTCGGTCAGTTCTGGTCACAATGACCATACACAAAAATGTAAATATTGTATTTAACGGTGCCATATACAAAATATTTAGTCCCAAATAAAGGTAAATATAAATCTTTTATCAGTTTATGATAAGAAGGATAATGATCTAGTTGAACTCGGTTGGTGCTTAACTATATCCTATTATTATGAATATAGGTGAGGGTTGTTCTAGTTATACCTTAAGTTCACGAATCGCAACCGTTCCAGTATAACATATTTAAAAAAAAATTATGAATGTTGATTCTTTTATCATATTTCAGTGGGTTCATATGCATTGATAGCCCACAAGTACTGGTTGCTGCATGGCATGATAATATTTCATGTTTTCACCAAAACACAAGTTTCAACTCCATCAAACAAAATAAACTAATCTGTGCTGACCTTTGTTGTTTCTCCGTTTCCATCATTGAAGCATTTCTTTGACTTTAACATTTTCTCCTTTCCGACATTAAGCATATAATTTAATTCAGAAAAGCGTTTAAAGCACAATACTAGAAAGCCTCCGTAATTTTCAGAAAATAAAGATAATATTACATAAGAATAAGAAAAATATCTACAAAAAACCCTTAGTTTTACTTTCAATTATACTGAAGGTGTCTTTTCAATCAGTTACATCAGTGAAAATTTTTAAATTACCTCACATGTCCAATAGTAAACTCAAAATTTAGGATACCACAGAGAACTGATGGACATTGACGTATTTTCAAAACTGGGGTCTTTGAAAATGTGATAGTTCTCATTTTCCCATTGTCAATTTTCCATTTTATGAGTATGAAGTTATTGGTACCACCATGACAACATACTATCTACCCATTGCGTATGGTGTTTACATATCGCAGTTATCCTTTCTTCAGTGAACATTTCACCTGAAATGTCCCAGTTAACTCAAAATTAAGAAAACTACAGAGACCTGATGAACATTGGTGTATACTCAAAACTAAGGTATATGATATACTAAATGGTCATAATGTCCCCATTGTCAAATTCCCACTTATGAGTAATAAGTTATTGATACCATAATAACATACCATTTATCCTTTGCCCATGGCATTTACATATCGCAGTTTATTTCATGTGCCAAAGCATATTTCTCATCTTGTTGTTTTCACAAAAAAAAAGATGTACTAAAAAAATTCCCCCATGTTTATTTCTTCCAGAAGTTAGCTGTCATCGCATTTTGCTACGGTATTTAATGTTTTTGTTATTCCTGTGGCCGATTTTTTTAAGGATATGTTATTATCACTGATGCAGTTTTGTCAGATTGATTATTTCGAATGTGGTGGCGTTAAGAATTTTCAAAATCAGTTTCATCATCTTAACACCTTTATTTACAAAGAAAATGGCTTATATCTTTTAAGATTTTGAATAAGCCTAGGATTTCCAAATTGTACCACGAATCACAAAGAAATTGGTGGGGCTAAAGTGATATGTGTGGTTTTACATTCGGACAGATGAATAATCAGTAAAATATTAAAACACTTTTAAACTTGGCAAAATGTTGGTCAACAAAACTTGGCTAAATGTAGGTCAACACATGTTATTATACTTCATGTCAAAATGTGGGTTTGGTTGGTTAATACGAGGGAGACAATTTACTCTATCCCATGGCAAATACTCTACCACCCTTCACGGAGACGCTTGCTCAAGTGTGCGCTTTAATAAATACGGATTATTGTTATGTACAAGACGACATAGTTTATTATTATACTTTACGTAAAATGCAATATTTTGATTGGCTTATACGAGGGTGTTAATTTACTCTATTCTATGGTAAATACTCTATTACCCTTCACGGAGACGCTTGATCAAGTGTGCGCTTTATTAAATACGACTCTATCCTATGGCAAATACTCTATTACCCTTCACGGAGACGCTTGATCAAGTGTGCGCTTTATTAAATAAGGATGGTTGTTATGTACAAGACGTCATAGTTTATTACTTTGAATTTGAAATTTAATCGAAAGTAATAACAGAACATTCAGTATAATAAATGAAATAACACATATCTGAGAGGGTGATAGAGCAGATTGTTACCCCTCGAAAAGACATTGTCAACCTTGGCTTCACCTCAGTTGACAATGTTTTCTCGGGGTAACAATCTGCTCTATCACCCTCTCAGCTATGTGTTATTTATATATTGTTTAAGTACTTGCCATTAGCCATTTTTATATATTTGTAATGGCCACGAGAAAACCCCTTTTTCAGTGATGTTCGTGTTGCTCAGTGTAGTGTTTTGTAGACAAATATTGTCTTTTCGTCGTTTTTCGTTTTTTTTTTGCCATGGTATTCACTATTGTCGGGTTTTCTTCGTTTTGTGAATTTTGATTGTCTGTTTGGTTTTTTCTGTCCCTTTTTTGTTCATCCCTCTGATATTTTACAATGTAGCTTCTCAATTGGAGTGTGATAGAGCTTATTTGTATAGATTCAATACTCTCTGTGTTTTTCAAACTGGATGATGAAGAGCAATATGGATTTTTGTGCTGGTTACATAGTTTTCACATTACTACACGTGTTTGGTTATTGTGCAATGGAGTATTATTCTATTGGTATCCATCTTTTTTAAATACCCTAAAGATGCCTACTTAAACCCGAAAAACAGTTCTGAACTAGTTTTAATCTTTTCTATAAGGAACTGAAAAAAAATAAAAAAAATAACCTGTGAACAATGTATTTCGCCAACAGCAGTCATGAATATTTCATTATATTTGTGCACATTGCTCTATGTCCTAAGAATAATGCTGCTCCACAGGATTTGTCAATGGTTTTGTACAGAAATTTTGTTCATGCCATCTCTCTGTTTTCAATAATAATAATATATGTTTAGGAGTGAAATCAAATATAAGGTTGATTATGGGGAAATTCCAATTGGCCAATTCGACACACACTGACGACAGACGCCAAGTGATTACAATAAGTAATATCTTCCAGCAACATGATATTAATTTAATTACAGCAACAGCAGCTTTTTGAATCCGTAGTATTGGTCATACATATTTTTGTCATTGACAGTCGTAAGTTGAAATTGTTTTTCATTCATTTTTTGTTTTTTTTTGTTTGATCTTTTGATTTTGACTTTACATAAGGGACTTTCCGTTTTGAATTTTCCTTGGAGTTCGGTATTTTTGTTAGTTTACTTTTTGGTAAGAATCAACGATGAATTGCGCTCCACAAAAATGATGAATCATACAATTATATGGTTCAGGTGAACAAATTTTGCACAGCAAATTAATAGCTTGAGCGAAACACAAACTGTCTGGAGCATAATTATACGAAAGCTATCTTAACAATGTAAGGTACCTTAATATGATCTCAGTAAAAAAAAAGTTTTGTATATAATCAAAATCGGAAAGAGGAAAATTTTCTACTATGCAGCTATAGGTTTAAACTTTTCTTTGATCATATATAATAACATAATTTACAAAGGGTCGAAACCACGGCCATCGTCGGTCGTGAGAGATATCAAACGCTATAAACAGCAACGTAGTAACTAGAATCAAAGAAAACTAGAAAAATAGAATATCACTCAAATCATAAAAGAAATTTTGACACATCAAACACAAAACAAATTATTTGGATTTGTGTTTATTAAAAACAAATTTCTGTACAAAATACATTTCATGTTTCCCAAATTATGTTTAATATCAATTGATAGCACTTTGTTGGTTTCTTTAGCATAGCAAACTGCATCTGTAAGTAAAATAAGATAACATCTTGAATTTTGCTGACAATGAATTCTTATTTCGTATCTATTGTAAATTATTGGGGGCAGGAGCAATATATTTTGATTTCATCGATCGATATATCTGTCGAATTTTTGTGAATATCTTTATTGATAATCCTTTCAAAACTTCCTGCATATTACATGCTTTACTCAATTCAATAAATATTAATATTAGGGGAATGGTGGAAAGTGTCACTATTTTGTAATTATCATAACTTTGAATTCGGGTTCTAATTTAGGAATGTATTGATCGGGATCTATGATGTGTATACCAAAAAAATACTTATTCCATCCGTTCAAATCTCTTAGAGGGCCGTGATAGTGCAGTTACTGGACGCCTTTGTCGGGCAAAAAAATCCATCTATAGTGTGGTTTGAAGAAAAGCTGTTAGCTCGCTTGGTCAAAAGTGACAGAGTGAGCAATTGCCAACACATAGCGTCTGTGGTCTGATACCTTTATGAAAATCTTCGCCTCTAAAAATCTCAGTGGAACAATTATTTGCTTAATGGTTGTGAGTGTAAGGGCTTTATTTCTATCAGTATTTTTCCGGGTTAGGATTTGAGGTATTTGTCTATCTTTAAATCACTTTTGTTGTTGTTTTTTTTGCTAGGGATTTTTTTTTCTTTGTTTGTTTGTTGGCTTGGTTTTGTTTGGGTTTTTTTGTTTGGGGGAGGCTGTTTATTTAAATTGACTTTGTGTGTATAATGAAACTCAAGATTAAAATAAGGCAAGTATGAAAAGCGTCTGAGACTGTCAAATAAATTTATGACATAAGAATATTAATTTTAATTCAACGAATTATGTCCTGGGCATACACGCTACAGTTGTTCGAAATGATGATGTGATACGGAGAACACAAACATTTGTATTTGTCAAAGGGATAAAATAATCTTTCATAAATTGACTTTTTGCTATTGGTTTTTATTATACATGCATTTTATATTATATTGAAGGGTAGAACCAACCCCCCTGAATTTTTGTCACATCAGAGATGTTTTTTAAAAACCCGTGTCAATATCTTATAATATTAACAGAATCAAAGCACTTCATCTGTGTATTTAGAGATTCTAACAATATTATTTCGTATCTGTAAACATGAAATTAATTAATTGGTGCGTAATGAAGCCTAAAAACTAATGTTGATATACTTGGGCAATTTGATAAATGATTAAAAATTATTAAGACTGACATGAAATACCAAAACCTAATTTCTGTTATATAAGTAAAGCTATCCTATGTTCATTTAAGTCCCCGAAATCGTTCGGATGCAAAATTTTACAAAACTTGTCGGTCCACTGGTTGAGCAGGGTGCCACTGATGAATCAGGATCTACCTACCCTTCCGGAGCACCTGAGATTCCCACAGTTTCTGGTGGGGTTCGTGTTGCTCAATCTTTAGTTTTCAATGTAGCGTTTTGTGGACTTGTTTGTCTTTTCGTCGGCATGGCGTTGTCAGTTTCCCTATTACATATGAGTTTTGAATTTTCCCTTGGTATCTTTTGTTGTAAAATTTGTAAAAAGGTATCAAAAAAGTTTTCAGTTGCTATTGGCAATGCATAATATTGTTCCAAAATCGTTAAACACATATATCATATATTCTTTTCTTTTCAAATTCTATTAGGTTTCATCAACTTCCCGATTTTGACCTTCTTAGTGAAACAAATACAGGGCACATTGGCCACACCCCTTTAGAGTGATCGTTGTTGAAGCGAAACGCTTATTGTCGACTTAAACGGTGTTCTTAAAGTTTTACTGGTGTCAAAATTTATGTTAAGTATTTTGTTTTGGTTATTGTGTTTGTTGTTTTTAAATGACGTATAATTCACATCTGCTAGCATTAACTTTGCATATATACACATTCAGATTTATAAAGTACGGATAATCTATTTAAGCCACCACACTCAACATACTGAAATGCAACAACAAAGTCAAAACCTTAAACAGTTTTGGCACGTCTGTTTAAGCCCTCTTGGTTTTGATGCTCTCAAACTTCTTATGCATTTTGAAGTTTAATAACAGAAACACGTGTTGCGTGCACTGAAATAAGCATCATACAATACCAATACAACGAAAAGGAAGCCATTGTTACTGTAAAGTTCATACTTCAAAGCAAAATAGCTGTCCACCTTCCAGTAGACTAGGTAACACATGTGTTGGTGCTTACAATAAAAACTATAGTAGTTGACCTTCACCATCACGTGAAACCCGAATTCCACAAAAATACACACAAAACGTGTTTCTGAAGTAATCTTCGTCAGTACGGTACGCTCGTGACTAAAAGTTGGGAAAGCCAAAAATACACTTGACGTCTGAGAGCATAAAACCAAAAGGAAAAAAAGATAAAAAAAAGCCAAAGTTGTATTTGTAAACTTTTGCCTAAGTGAGCTTCAACATTAGTTTTAGGGTACGATCATTTGATTTTCTGGGGAGGAGAATTTTGAAATTGAATAGATTGCACCTGGTAAGAACTGAAAATTAATGACTTTCCACAAGACAGGATGAATATGAAAATTCTGCAACATAAAATGCAGGATAGTTGAGGATACAAATGGTCGTGCCCTTAGCACAATTACACTATTTCATGATTGTTGGAAATTCAATAAACAAAATGTATCATTTAAATCACGCCAGTACCAGTTGCCCTTTACTATCACGTGCAAATGAGTTACCCTTTACCAACATGCGCATAATTGTTACTTATAACCAACACGTGCATATCAGTTGCCCTTGTCAAGCACGTGCACACCTGCTTCCATTAATGCACAAGTAACTTTTTACCAACATGTGCAAAACCTAGTTTCATTATCTTTTAAAGTACTTACACTTGTAAATATTATAATCCTATTAAAGAAAAGAAAGTATAAGTTACAATCCTATCAAGGAATAAAAAATATAAGTACTTAATATAAAAATATCTACATAGATTTAAGCATTATTATATATATTATACGAGCAAGTCAATAGGGACCAACCGCATTTGGTAAACTTGGTTTTGAAACTTTTAATCGGATAAGTTACGAACTATTATTTTCACTTTTATTCGTTTAGAAATTAAGACATGTCAATGGGTACATCAAATATGAAAACAGGAGATGAAAAGCGCGCGAAAAAGAGATAAACATCATCCACGTTCAGAAATCATCCCCTTTTTTAGAGTCTGAAAAGGCACATCTTAGCATTCCAAAACAATAATTGTACGATGATTGACATTTCTCCGATTGATTTGTGCATTCTGATAATAAGCTAGTTACATTGCATAATAACAGAGAAGTATTAAGTATTGATTAGGCGGTATTGCAAGAATACTTAATCCATGTCTGTAAATTTGTTCATTTTCCTATATAATATGAATAAAAATAAATGTTGGATATACTTAAAGGAGAGAACAACCTAGCAGATATAAAATAATATGTTGATTTCAACCTCAGATTTTAAATGATGGACACATCCATATCCTATCTCATGTTCTAAATTATTTCAGTATAGACAAGTTGCGAATGAATTGAACAGGGAATACTTAAGATCTTTAATAGCGACCCCAATCTTTATATAAAATGAAACAAAAAGAAGCACGTTGAGCTTGAAAACACAGTAAAACTCGAAAGCTTTATACACAATGTAAAATGAAGACAACATCGATGTTTGGCGCATATTTGGATGACCATGTTTTGAACATGTTTTTTTATATATTCGGTGACACATCCGTTTAAAAGATTTACGGTGCCATTCTTTCTTTTTACATCTGGGAAACAGTAGTGCATGAAAATGGAATGTAGAGCAAACATACACGCTATTAATTAAACAAATATTTAAACGATCTATAGCCCTCGGATCAAGTTTTATTTTCTTGTTTTATCTATATATATATATTGCACTGTTAGTTTATATGCCGTTCATAACACTTATTTTCCCGTAATTGACATATTCCTGAAAAATTCCCTTCAAGGAGGTTTTATTGGTTACATAAATCACATATTACCTCTCTTCCCTAGTTGGTTTTGTGGATTAAAAAAGTTAAATGTTTTGGAGTTGAATTGATCTGGATCAAATCCACCACCGCTTCCTCCACTTTGTCCCAATTTTGATGAGGATGGATCTAACATGTTGGCTTGTAATTGGTTAACCTTATTTGCGTCGAACTTTGGAGGCTGACTTCCACTACTGCTGCCACCACCACCGCTTCCACCGCCACTAGTCTGTGCTTGTGGATTAAAGAAATTGAACTTCATAGTGTTGAACTGGTCCGGGTTAAACATAGCTCCGCCGCCTCCACCTGAACCAAGCTGTGACTTGGAAGGATCTAGCATACTGGATTGTACTTGATTAACCTTATTAGGATCAAAGTTTGGTGGCTGACTTCCACTGCTACTAGAACTTCCACCGCTGCTGCCACCGGAACTTCCACCGCTGCTGCCACCAGAACTTCCACCGCTGCTGCCACCAGAACTTCCACCGCTGCTGCCACCAGAACTTCCACCGCTGCTGCCACCGGAACTTCCCTGACTTGTTTGTCTTCTACCTGAATAGAATATTTAACACGATTAAATCAGTTGTGATTGGCGTAACTGCGATCACTCTCAGATCTGTACTTTGTATCTTTAGTGGTTTTCGTAGTTGTTTTTGTACTTAAAGGATGTTCGCTTCCTTGTTTTTGAATTTTTGCCAGATTTTCGGAATCCTCTGGTTTTATCTACGTTTTTCCATTAACCCCTACTTTTCTTTTCATAATTTTATTACATATAGTTTTAAAAGCCATATTTGAAAATCTTACAAAATCCTTGTTATTTTTTCATATTTTTTAAAAGAGAAAAGCGGACAATGTTAACAGTATGAAAAATCTAGAGAGAATCATTTCCCGCCAAATTTTCAGCGGCTTATATCTCGAAAACAAGCACACGGACCCTTAATTTTTTTCTGCTTTTTTAGTTCCTCTATTTATATACTATCAATTTATAACAGTCTTTTAAAAAGCTTGTTATTTTGAAGTAGAGTAGCGAACATCCTTACATCGTTCTGATGAGTTAAGTTAAGCCCCTTTCCACTGATTTTTATAGTATGTTCTTATGTTGTACTGTTTCGCCTATGTCCCAGTTTAGGGGAGGGTTGCGCTTCCGCTAACATGTTTAACCCCGTCACATTCTTTATGTGCCTGTGCCAAGAATGAAGAGTTGTCTCATTGGCAATCATACCAGTAACCACATCTTCTTACTTTGATATTGTAAGAAGATATTTGGAGATAAAAAGAATAAGCCTGAACTGACCACTTTGTTAATTGACGAATAAATTCCAAGAGACTAGTTGCGCGTGTTAAAAAAGTCCCCTTTTTTGTCAATTCTGTATTTTTTCAAGTTAATTTTTTATAACGGACTATGAATTTTAGTTATTTCACGTAGTGCGTATATTATTGAATTAAGGCTGCATTGCTACCGTACACGTAAAACAACAATTACATCAGTTGTAACTACAATTTACCCCTCTTTCCTAGTTGGTTTTGTGGATTAAAGAAGTTGAATGTCTTGGAATTGAATTGATCTGGATCAAATCCACCGGCGCTTCCCCCACTTTGTCCCAATTTTGATGAAGATGGGTCCAACATGTTGGTTTGTAATTGGTTAACTTTATTTGCGTCGAACTTTGGTGGCTGACTTCCTCCGCTACTGCTGCCACTGCCGCCACCACCACCACCGCTAGTCTGTGCTTGTGGATTAAAGAAATTAAACTTCATGGTGTTGAACTGGTCCGGGTTAAACATAGCTCCGCCGCCTCCACCGGAACCAAGCTGTGACTTGGAAGGATCTAACATACTGGATTGTACCTGGTTTACTTTATTAGGGTCAAAGTTTGGTGGCTGACTACCACTGCTACTAGAACTTCCACCACTACTTCCGCCGGAACTACCTTGACTTGCCTGTCGTCTACCTGTTCAATAAAAATAAATAGCACAGTGTATCACAAATAGCAGTTGTATTGAAAATGAAAGCAGATGTAAAATCGGGTTGTTATAATGGTTTAGAATTTTCAAAAACATAAAAAATGAAATACATACGTCTTCCTGCTGTCATTGCACTAGGATTGAAGAAGCTAAAGGACATGCTGTTGAACTGGTCAGGGTTAAAACCACTGCCTCCTCCTCCGCCTGATCCTAGCTGTAGTTTTGATGGGTCTAGAAAACTGGCTTGTATTTGGTTGACTTTGTTGGGATCAAAATTTGGCATTTGTGCACTACCACTGCTGCTGCCACCACCAGAACTGCTACTACTTCCGCCGGAACTACCACCAGAACCACTACCACTGCTGCTAGACCCGCCTCCACTAGGACTGAAACACAGCAGTACAATAAATCATCGTTTTAATTTAGTTCTTTAATGTTTATAAATGTTTAGATCATACATTTTGATAGGAGAAAATATGACAACATAACAAGTAATCATTTTCTATTGCTCAAGGACATTCTTCATTCGTGTGCTTTTTATATATATTTATGTAATAGATTTTCTTACAGATGATTTCGGTATCTCTTAATACCTTTGCTGGCTCCCGCCTCCTAGAAACTGTGATGGATTTAACAAAAACTGAGGAGGTTGCATATTCTGTGATAGTGATCCACTGGAGCTACCACCGGAGCCTCCTTGTGTACCACCAGAACTTCCACCGCTCTGAGTAACTCCACCGGAACTTCCACTGCTTGGTGTCACTCCACCAGAACTTCCACCAGTCTGAGTCACTCCACCAGAACTTCCACCTGACGATCCCCCGGATGTGCTGTTCGCTTGTCGAACTAGAAATAAATGAATATATAGCTAGGTATGAAATAATAAAATTTCTGCAATTTTTTTTCAAGGTTTATGCATTGTGAAATAGTAGAAGTATATCTACATAAAATGAAGAGATTAAACTAAAAAAAAAGCATTGTGAAAGTTTCAGTCTCTTGTGGAGAGTTGTCTCATTGGCAATCTTACCACATCTTCTTATTTTTATATTTACATAAAATGAAGGGATTTTAATAAAAGCTTTGATTGGAATTTGAAAGATTACCATCAGACATGCTATTCTTACTTTACTTCAATTTTCTATTTTCTAGATATTGTTTTGTCCTCCGCCACTTGAAAAATCACTAGAACAAAACAGATAAACTCCTATAAACTAGTGAATAATCGCGCAATTTCAAATGTATAGGCAAGCTACCTTCGTTAATAAGAATCACAGATTCTTGAAACAGTACAGGGGAAAATGACAAACAAACAATGCAGTGAAGAAGATACCAATTTTCAAAGGTCGAAATGACATTTGCTTTCTTGATCTTATTTCGTTTGCTTCATGTAAGTTTGTCTATTTTTTGTAGTATCGATGATTCTTTTGGTTTAAATTTATTGAATCGCTTGAATGTAACTTCGGCCATTGTAAATCGTATAGTTTGAATAGGAAAACACTTAACTCTGAATTGTGTTAAACTTGCAAAACAATGGTTTTCTATGTTGACAAGGCTCAAGGCATAATATTACAGAGAGAATAGGAACGTAGATTTGAATCGTTTGTTGTCTTAATTTACAAATTCGCCGTTTCAGAATCTAAAGGATTGCAGGTAATTTCAGTGTTCGTAAATCAAAATATAAAGAAGTTAAGACATTGGTTGAATATCCATGTTTAGGACTTTTAATCAATCAGAACATTTTGATGAACAATTTGTGCATTTTTGAAAAAAAAAACAAAATATTATTTAACCTTAACTTAGTAAAAACGAATTTGTGGAATTGTAATTAGATATTTAATTATTTATAACGAATATAAAATCGATATTAAAATTTAAGATAACAAATTCTGTAATTAGAAACAAATGTTACTACGACTTCACGTATTACAAATGAAACTTCACTTAAAGATGAATTAAAGAAGTTATGTGATTTTTTTTAATTTCAGGTAGTTGTAAAATCATGTTTAATTGAAGTATTTTCAAAGGTAGGGGAATGGGTCACAGAAATCTGATAGAAACAATGACCATGCTTTTTTCTTTTCTTTTTTTTTTGTACAGCCTTTTTGGGATTCCCCTCTCTCTCTTTCTGTTAAAAAGCTATATTAGTTTACGTTCAAATATGAATGTTCCTACCGAAAAATATAAACTTACCACTAATGGCGAATGCATGGCTGACCAATAAAGTCGCCAATATAATCGTTGTCCACGCCATATTCGATGTGAATTATGAATGAAATTTTAGGATTATTTTAATAATTGAAGGTCGCAGGTGAGACATCGTATCAAAAGTTCATGTCTTCGATAACATACTTTCGACAGGTGGAATTGATATGGGATCCTTCAACCCTTACTTATCTTTCACAAAGAAATTTATGTGAAAAAAATGAAGCATTTTTCATGTCACAAAATCATGAAATCGGCTATCAAATTTAATTTCCTGCGTTCACTGTTCACTAAAACTACTTAGTTTTGACAAGAGTTGTGTTATCTGGGAACATAATGTCAATATATTCTCTAAAAGGAAATTGTGTATTTTAGTTTTTTTTAATGAACCAAGAATTTTTACGGCAAATAAAAATAAAATTATATAAAAATAGGTAGAGATGCAATTTTTTCGCTCGCAATCTGAAATCGTTTCCACAAGCTATACAGACATCAACGGCAAAACCACGAGCACGGTCTCCAGCGCCTTAGACCAATCGGCAAAAAGGGCTAGTAAAATATATATAACAAAAGATAAGGCTTATTGCTTGCATCGGAAAGTAGCATGTGGAGATCTCATATAAGTGGCATAAGAACTGTTAATACCAAATTTTATTTATATGGTTGGATTGGAAACCAAGTTTTATTTTCTTCAAAAGAATTTCAGCCAAGGTCAATTACAAATGCAAAGAAATTAATAACATCATTATTCCATTTGAATCTTCAGTAACAACTATACCATTATCATTTTTAATATGTATTGCATAACGCTTACACCAAATTTCATTGTGTTTGTTTTAAATGCTTAAACATTGCCGTCATGCAAAACGCCAAATCCTAGTTTAAATACAATCTAATGATAATTATTAATTTTGTGGAATGATTGACTACTTATCCAATAGATGTATTTTATATCTTTGTGTTATTTCCTTGAAGTTAGGGAACTAATGGAACTACGATATCAACTGCTGACTTGAAATTTCTAGCTATACAAATTTTAATTTTCTAGAATGCTGTTCGGGAATATGCCTTATTCTATGCAACTTACTAGTATATGAAAGAATTGTATGATAAAGATGTTAGGTAATTTTTTAGTCTGGTTAAGGAAATGCTTGTGTTTTGAAATTCCATCTTTTATCGTTTGACAACTACATTCTAGTATATAAGATAAAGAGCAAAATCAATGATTTGAATGATATCGTCGTAAAATCTATGCAAAAACAAAACAAAGTTAAGAGAGAACAAATGAAGGTACAACAATGAAAGAGTAAAGCACTTGCAAAGCCACTGCTACTTGCCACGATCAATGGCGGATCCAGGATAGGACGTAGAAGGCGTACCCACCACTCTGATCGCCAAAAAAATCAAATCTAATGTTTCTCACGATTTATATGATTTTTTATCATAAAATCGTCCAAAATTGTTACGCCTTGCTCCGCTCGCCATTCGCTCTTCCATATTCGGGAATTACGCCCCCTTTCAAAAATTCTGGATCCTACCCTGCCAATGTTGATGTAGGTGATGCTTCTTAAATTGAGCAACAATCTTAGTGGCTCAAATCTTTATTAATGCAAAAGCTAGTGACTGGTGCTGCTCCTATGTTCTAGTGTCTCAACAAGATAACGCTGTTTGTAACTGATCTCAGACAAGTTAATTCGGTTTCAATATAAGATTTTATCTTTTCCTAGGATTGACCATTCCATTGATAAGATTCAGTATGTAAAATCTCATCAAATTTCGTTTATTAACAAGTCACTTGCAGGTGACCTTGACAAAGGATATTTTTTGTAACGACAGTATATTTTAACTCATGCCCTTTGTAATGAAAAAATGATTTTTTTTTTAAAAGATGTAACAATACTATTTAAGACTTTTGTTGAAACGCCTCTTGCAAAATTCACTATTATCTTTCCCAAAGTGATTATATTGTCAGGCCAATGTTGAAACTAAGGTTTCAACTCCCTCAGACAAAGTTGACCTAAGATGGATTTGACAATTATGTTTATGCCCCTTTTGGTAAAATAGCTATTTACGTCTTTCATTGCTAAAACATCATTCATTGGCTATCAACGTTTCGGCTTTGAGTGTTACTGATGAAGGTTAAAGCTGAAAAGTACTTCGGACTCACAAAATTTATCAAGTGTTATTTTAATTTTTGAGGCTAAAACAAGGTTTTGCGTCTGTCCCAAATAAAGGCAACAGTAGTATACCGGTGTTCAAAAGTCATAAATCCCGAAGTCAGGAGTCTCTGGCCTTTGTTAGTCTTGTATGTTTTTAATTTTAGTTCATTTATATGTTTCGGAGTTTAGTGTGATGTTCATTTTCACTGAACTAGTACACATTTTTTTAGGGGGCCAGCTGAAGCCCGCCTCCGGGTGCGGGATTTTCTCGCTGTGTTGAAGACCCACTGGTGGCCTTGGGCTGTTTTCTGCTCTTTGGTCGGGTTGTTGTCTCTTTGACACATTACCCATTTCCATTCTCAATTTTATTATTGTGGTATCATTATAGATAAAATAGATGCACTTGTGGGATTTTATCATTATCTTGAAAAACAAGATTATGAAACCTCTAGGCATTGCTTAAAATCTGCAGGAAATTAACCAATTACATTAAATCACTTTGAGGACAATCGTAGGAAATACTCACTTCAGACTCAGAGAAGCAAATCAATTAAATTTGATAAATGCATATCAAGGGCAAAACTAATGTAATTTCTAATCTAAATCCTTTTGTAATATTCGAAGTGCAAATATACTTGTACATTCTATATGCATAGTCGGTGAAATTAAAATCTAGATAGACATACACTTGTCGTTCATCTGACAAAATATACTAGTATACACATTTATTGAAATAAATAGGCCTTTTTATTATCACAAGTTTTGTCAGTCAGTTAACATCTGTCTGATTTATATACTTTTCGTGTTCTATATGTTACAGACGTAGCTAGAATAGCTAAGTTCTTGTTGACAATATAAGCTAATGACGAACATCTCGTTACATTACGTTCAACTTTTTCCAGTTATTCTGGCATATCAGTGAAAAGCTATGATAAATACATGTCTAGCTTTATATGAGAATTAAGGAGATGAAAGGCTGAAAGAATCTTACTGGTGTGATATATCCACATTCATGTTCCGGCTTAGCGCGTCGGTCTATCACAAATCAGGTTTCATATTCATATCACTTAAACATGTTCCGGTCCTGAATATGCATGTAATAGTTGCCACTGGACGTTAAGCAGTGATTCATTATTTATATATACATGTATATAGGATACTACTTTATGCTAATAAAATCTTAATTGTGCTGTTACACAACTGTCCCAGATTAGGGAGAGGGTTGAGTCGCTAACATATTTAACCACGCAACATAATGTATGCGCATGTCCCAAGTCATGAGTCTATAATTCAGTGGTTGTCGTTGGTCACTTTCTATCATATTTGTATTGTGTTTACTGTTTTGTACATAAATTAGGCCGTTTTTTCATTTGAATTGTTTTATATTTTGTCATACCGGGGACATTTACATAAGTGGGAGGTTTAGCTAGTTATACAACCAGGTTTAAACCACCATTTTCTTTGGAAAATGTCTGTACCAAGTCAGGAATATGGCAGCGATTTTCCATTCGTTTCGTTGATTGATAAAGTCTAACGTTTGATTTTGCCAGTTTTTTTATGGACTTCCCCTTTTTTAATTTAGCTTAGAGTTCGGTACTTTGTTATACCTTTTATAGCTTACTGTACGGTATGGACCTATAGTTTCTTACACCTACGTCATTTGGTCGCTGGTGGATAATTGTCTCACAGACAATCATTCCACATCTTCTTATGTTTATACTGAACACATTTTCAAAGACATTGATGAGAATTAGGAATAAAAATGTCCTACACATCAAGATATAGATATAAGAAGATGTGGTATGAGTGCCAATGAGACAACTCTCAATCCAAGTCAAAATTTATAAAAGTAAACCATTATAGGTCAAAGGACGGTCTTCAACACGGAGCCTTGGCTCACACCGAACAGCAAGCTATAAAGGGCCCCGGCCAAAAATTACTAGTGTAAAACCATTCAAACGGGAAAACCAACGGTCTAATCTATATAAAAAACGAGAAACGAGAAATACTTATGAACCACATCAACAAACGACAACTAATGAACATCAGATTCCTGACTTAGGACAGGTGCAAACAATTGCAGCGGGTTTAAAAGTTTTAATGGTACCAAACCTTCACCCTTATATGTTCTTATAGTAAATGTCGATATATTATAGCTGATTTTGAAAAAGAAATCTCTACAAACAATCCTGATTGGAAAAAACTGGCGCTTGGACAGCATGGTCCTGACTTGATACAGCCCCCTTTCAAATCAAATGAAACATGTGGGTAGCACAAGATTTTATTGCACGCCAAACCTCCTACTTGCGTAATATTCTGTTTAGTTCTAATTATTCCTGTATCATTGATTGTCATTAATGGAGTATATATAGCTGTGTATTCCCACAGCCAAAAGATCATGGGTGTGTATTTATACACCCTTCATAGCCAAATGAATAATTTTCAACAATAGTAGATGCAAGGACTTTGTGCGTCAAGAAAGCAAGTCATACGCATACTCGTGCATTTAATTTCGACTTTCCATATTAGTTAGAACGTGGCTGTGTATTTATACATCCTGTATAGCCAAATGAATAAAGTACAATAGTAGCTGAAAGGGATTTGTGTGTGCGTCAAGAGAAAGTCATACACATACACATATATTTAATGTTAACGTTCCCAATTAGTTCGAAAGTGACTGTTCTGCCCGATATGTATCCACCATCATAAAACTCAAGGAGAAAAAAACTCAACGAAAACAAAAGTAACTATAAGTTCTTAAGAAGACTGCATGTAAGATATACATCGAAATAAAGAGAATCAATAAAATGAATATTTATTTAAGAGGTCATAAAATGCATGGAAGAACTCAAAGGGCTCAAAATATCTAAGAATGATTGGATACATGTTTTTGCCAGAACAAAAATGTATCGGAAAGGAATCCATGTATTTGAGAACAAACGATACTTGTATACTCTTGCAATGATCTATTCTAAGGTTTCGACGTTCGTAGAAAAAAATGTTTTAATTCTGAAAACAAATTATATCTATCCTTTTGTTTGTTCGACAACTTTCTTTATTTTACTTTTTCACCGTCTCCGTGACCAACGATAGGATTATCGTTCTTGCCTGTTCCACCATCGCTCCCAGCGACTTGTTTCATCATTTCATTGGGACTGAAATGCATGTTAACTTTGTTTACTGCATTTGGATCAAAACTGACTCCCGATATCAAACCCTTCATGTTACCGATCATAGCTGAAGGGTTAAACATCATATTTGTTTGACTTTTGTCTGACGTGCCACCATTTTCTGTCGTATTTTTGTTCGTATTCATCATTGCGTTTGGATTAAACAACATGCCAGATTTCATTTTACTAGGATCAAATACACCACTTTTATCTTTTCCTCCAGACAGAAGACCAGGAATAAATCCAGAACCTGTACTATTTCCTTCACTTGAGTTGCCTTGCAGAAAAGGTGGAATAAAATTTACATGAATATCATTTACTTTATTTGGATCAAATGTATAACTTTCGGCTGTTTTCTTGTCATAGCCAGCATTAGATTCCAACATTTCAGATGGATTAAAGTTCATTCTCTCTTTATTAACCGCGTTTGGATTAAAATATGCTTTATTTACTTCTGTTGGGTCAAATTGCCCACCAAACCCAGAATTCATACCATTTTGCGTACTATTTCTCGAATTTCCCAAAATCCCCATGTTAACCTGGTTAGCGTCAAAATTTCCTAAGAATTGTGAATTATCAAATTGTCCTGTTGACATGTTATTCATATTTGTCTGAGCCTTGTCGAATGGGTTGATATATGAGTTTTGATTTACTTTATTTGGATCATAAAATGTATTGTAGTTCGTGGACGTTGGTCCACTTGAACCGTCCATTCCCATTTGCTGATTGGTATTGAAACTCATTTTTGCTTGGTTAACTGACGAAGGATTGAAATTATAAGCCATCCCAAAACTATTCGACGTCTGAGTCGCTGTGTTATTGTTGACATTTGATGATCCTGTATTCTGAATATTATTCATTACGAAAGCCTGCTGATTAACCATGTTAGGGTTATACATTCCTTTGTTTACCATCATTTGTAATGTTTGACCATCTCCTGTCAAAGATCCTGGAACAAATCCATTTTGAAGGCTGTTTGACTGAGCAGGCATTAATTTACTGGGTTCACTATGGTTTTCATGCATATCAGTTGAAGTTGTAGGCACTAAAGTAGTCCCTTGAGTTGTAGTATCCATAGTGACAGTAATTTTTGTCTGTGATTGGCTAGTCGGTGCAAGTGTAGTTTGATTTGTTTGGTTTCCTATGTTAACTGAATGATCATGCTCTACTGGTAAATCGGATAACATATCAACAAAGGCATATCGCTGATTGATGCTTATCTTACTTTCCTCTGGTTTATCTACAAAGCTGTTTTCATATTCCGAAAAGTGATTCTCAATCCGGTCTATATCTGGTTTAAAGCCAGGAAAAAGTAAGCCAGGTATAAATTGTGAATTCTTTTTGGATGACGGTTGCGGTACAATTTTGGACTGCAATGCAGCTGATGTGTTTTCAGTGTTTGAATTTGGGTCATCTGAATTTTTGGCACTGCTCATCAACTTTTTGTTTAAAGTGTCGGCATTGAATAAAATATGACGTACTGGTGGTAATGGAGTATTCATATCTTCAACTGGGAACATTTGTCCGGGTTTAAACTTTCCATAATAGTTGTTAAGTTTATCAGGATCATATGAAAGTTTGTTACTTATATGTGGTGTCTCTTTATGAACAGAAAGCAAAAGTGCATCTGGCTGAAAATTCATTTTTACGTTGTTGAATGAATCAGGATTAAAGTTGATAGATGTTTGTCCACGCATGGGATTAAACATGCCTGGACTGTTTTTTGCATTCGTTTGAATACTGTTCTGTTGGTTAGGTGCCCAATTTTGCGGAGAAGCATTCTGTTTTGCCATATATTTTCCAGTACCTAGCGAGGAAGAAGAGGAGCTCATCATTTCTTGCATCAGTGCATCAGGGTCAAACAATTTCGCTTTGTTATCGTCATGAACAGAACTAGATGGCTGTTGTATTGAAGACGTTCGAGGGAAGCTCAGTCCACCCATTCCTGATGTCATCATGAATAGAGGGCTTACTTGTTGCTGAGTATTAAACTTTCCAGCATTGCTCATTTGCTGTGGAGTTTGTGGTGTACTTAATATGTTGTTATCAGTTTCAGTAGAAATAGAACCTTTGAGGAGTTTGTTCAGCATTGGCATAATACTTCCGGTTTTTTGTTCATAGTTTGAAATTGTTTTCATTGTTGGTTTCAATGGTTCTCCTGTATAATATTGCTTCTTTGGAACATTGTTTTGTTGTTGTGGTTGTCGGTGGATGATGGCGTTGGTATTGATGTTGAGAGGTGCATTACTTCCAAGATGTACTCCGAGAATTTTTAGCAATTGGAGTGCTGACATACCAGATAGTTGATTAAGCGTTGATGCAAGATTACCGTGATTTGGGACAGAAGGGGCAACTTTTTCTTGTGACGAGAGTAAATGTTTCTCAAGTTGTTCTGATTTATTGTTAATTGGATGTTTTTGAAGAGCTTGATGATCTGTCTTTTTGTATATGTTTTTTTCTGGTATAATTCCAAAAGTTTTAGTGAAGTTATCATCTGTCTGGACATTTTGAAGACCTGGTAGTGACACACAAAAACACCCTGAAAAGAAAATTTAGTTGACGTAAAGTGTCTTTCCAATAATTACAGGTATTAATGTTAGGAACTATTTTTAAAGTAAGAAATTTCAATAAAAATGGCAAGCAATTTAATGAAAAGACGTGTGACATCTGATGTTTAAGAGCACGAAGGCATCTGTTCCTGTTGTTTAATTAATTATTTGGGCAGCTTCTGAATTTAGTTTAAATGCCTAAATATTAGTTGTCCATAACGCAATTGTAATTGTTGAGATACACTAAAATGTTGTCTTTGGATAGTAGTTTTTGGTCTATTTTAAATTTGTCTTTTTGCTGTACAATCAATGAGTTATCCCACACGTTTACTTCGTTGTTTTTATATATACATCTTACAAATACTGATAATTTTTTGAAAGACGTTTATGAAGTTCAGTCGACTATGCAATATGAATATATATTTAAATAAAATCGTCATAGATACCAGGCTTAAAATTTTGTACACCAGACGCGGGTTTTGTATGAAACTCACCAGAGACACTCGAATCAAAAAAGTTAAAAGGGCCAAATAAAGTAAGAAGTTGAAGAGCACAGAGGACCCAAAAAATCGATGTAGACCTTATCATATGTCTGCATTAATTCAAGTGCCTGTGGTTTAATGATTATTTGATAGTTGTTGTTTTACGCTCCCGGAGAAGCACGAAAGAACAATATTGATGACATCAACTTATGATGAAATGATAGGACACAAAACGGAAATGAGTTTCGACAGCAGCATGAAATATATGTACAGTGAGCAATTCAGTCGTTATCGTAAGTTGCTGTCTGTCATATTTGTTTTTCGTGTATTGTGTTGTCGTACCACATCTTCTTATTTTAAAAGGGTAAAAACATTCGGCATTGGCTTCTTCAAACGGATGATGCTAGATGCAATACTAGGAAAGCGACATTATACCAACACTGGTTAAGCATTGGAAACATCTAGCACAATTGCGAACACCCTTACAAGGGGAGAGTCTCACAACTCATTGAAGAGTGTACCCGGAAACAATACATATACGGAAAATATAAATCGTTATAAAAGCGAAAAACAAGTATCGTTCAAATAAAGTACAATTGCTTAACTAATAATATTAAAATGATCTTAACGTGGTAAATTGAGTTTTGTGTTTTTACGAAAACTAAATTTAAGTTATTATACAACAATATAAATGAAAGATGTTTTAGAAATTCATGAAAAGACAACAGAAGTTTTATCAAATCATCTTGTGTTAAAAAAGAAACTTGAAATACACACCTGATATCAGAAATCCAACTAAGATGGTAAAAAATGTCATTTTCTCACTTTTGTCTTGAACTTTGTTCCGCCATGTAGAGGTCTGGGCACCTGTCGTTGGATAAAACCATCACTATCTTGTACCTTCGTCATTGTATCGTAAACATGACCAGGTAGCATGGATATTACTATTAATTACTGATTAAAAAGATTACAAAAGTATAAAAAATCAACAAATAAACAGCGAAACAAACTATTCATTTCTATTCGACTTATTTTTTTATGAATTAATATTAGAAATATAGTATCATAGCACTGCAATTTTGACGAGTTTGTATCAAATTTCAATTCGAAACTTCCGAATTTAAGATTTAATCCTACAAAAATAATTCAAAAGGAAGGAGGGTGTGACCTTTAGTTGAATAACTGTATTTGCTGTTCATGCAATGCTGCAATTAAAAAAAAAATCATTGGTTAAATTGGTTTTAGACCGTAGAGTGAACTATGCATACTTGTTGGCATCCTCGTCATTTGGTCTCTAGTGGGTAGTTGTATCATTGGCAATCAAGCTACATCTCCTTATTATATATTTAAAAATTCTTCATCGTCTTGTCCTCCCATTAGTTATATGATTTACGTATTGTTTAAGGCATGTAGATCGGGTAAGTAAGGTCTGTTTCTTTGAAGATTTTATTTTCTTTTTCGTCTAGTGCTGTCATCTTTGTAACCGCCTCCACATTTTAGGTTTTCAAATAATCATACAATTGTTTTCCTTAAACTAACGGGTCACATTTGAAAAAATGAATTTTATGTAAATATCATAAGCCACAAAAAGAACTTTCATACATTTTGACCTTGTATGTGACCTTAAATGAAAACAATTTTGCCCTTGTGAGTCCCCTTTAACAAAAAAAAAATCCACAAAAAAAGAATAACCAATACTCAATAAACAAAAACAAAAACTTACAAAACATACAAATAAAATATACAATGAATAAAATATTACATTTATTAGTTTCATATTTACTGTTATTTGGTCTACATTTTATAGTTTTTCATCATACAGCTTGTAGAAAATAAATATACACTCCATATGGTTAATGTGATTGGAAAAAATGAATTGTTAAAAGGTTCACAGCCTGATGTAAATGTTTCTTTTCACTGTTATGAAATTAAAACTAATATGCTTAAATCTTATTTATTACATGCATAATGAATGAAATCTTAATAAATACATTATTTTATTTAAGATACTAATACTAGTATTGTCGGCCTTGATTTTAAATCTAATAGAAAGAGCTAGCCGTTGATGGTTATGTGTAGGTTGTGACCGTTCCGAAATGCGGTACGGGGTCCAGGTTGCTTTCTCAAGTAGAGGATTAACAGAAATAAGCAAATTGGATGCAAAAATGGAATTTAACTATGAAACTTTTATCTAAATGAAAAAAGAAAATTATTTTATCTCATAATATCAACCTTTTTTTTTACAAAAACAGAGAACGATTTTAACGAATTTAAATTTATGATGTAGCGAGAAAACTAGGAAGGTGTCCCTAATACTTCTTTTTATATTATGAATGCACGTTTTAAAGGCCAATCACCTCATTTTTGTTAAATTCTATCGTTTAGTTTTGTTTTTTTTTCTCACACAAAATTGCCTTATAATCCTAACAAAATCTGACGATTTGAAAAAAAAAAAAGCTCCGATGTTAATAATTTTATTTTATTTCGAGCGATATTCCTATGTATTAAACTTCTGTGTATATTTGACAGTTCCAAAAAATTAATAAAAATACCGACCTCCAAGGTAAATTCAAAAGAGGGAAGTCAATAAAACCTGACAAAATCAAACGCTCGACTATATCAACCAACGGAACGAAAGGAAAACAACTATCATATTTATGAATTAATACAGGCATCTTCAGAAAAAATTAGTGGGTTTAATCTGGTTTTATAGCTAGCCCAACTCTCTGGGATGACAGTTGTTTATAGATCCGTTATATTAACAAAACAAAAAACCCAACTAGAAATACTTAGTGAACCTGACAATAATTGGGATCCAACAGCTAAAACTGTGAAGACATACAACACGACAGACTTAAAAGTTGAACAAACATACAAATAAAACTGACAAAGACGCCAACAAAATAATATACTAGTACACTTTCCCGATAAATTGCAAATTAGATAAAATATTGATAAAAGGGTATGCAAAATGGAAACAACATTATAAAAACCTCAAGCGTCCGAATCGTACCTCTAGACCCACTTGCATCAGGAACGCCCAAA